TCTCCTGATGCTCATGGTTATAGAAATATTACACTTTCATCTTGGATTTATAGAACTCTGTTGCAATGAATGTAAAGTCGATGTCGTCAATTTCGCTACTTACGACATGCTCATAAACTCAAATTGTATTTTTCAAACAGCCTTCCTTGGCTTTTCCTGTAAGAGCTATCTCTTGCTTGCAATTATAAGTGCTTGTAATTTTGAATTTTTGTTTTTGTAACAGCTACCCTTCATAAATTTTGTTCAGTATGAGGTGTGTATCCCTCAGAAAAATACTGTCCCCTTCACATAATACAGGGGATGAAATTGATTTTGAAATTGACGTTTTCCTTGATAAAAACACATGAAAGTGAACTTGAGCTGAAATTTGACATTTGAGCCTTTGATTTCTTTCCATGGTTAACTTCTGATTTCTCTCCATGTGTAGATGCGTGTGCAATCTCACCATGTCAGATATTTCAACAGATAACTAAAGTTAACATACCATGGGCCAAGGTAAAATGTATAATTCTCATGAAGCTTTCTTTTTCAAGATAATGGGCACTTTGTCAAAAACAGCTAAAAACTTGGAATGAGAAAAATATGCCAGTTTATGAATGATGAATTAGAGACGATGGTTATGAAAGTGAGACAGATTTTGGACATGCTTGTTTTGACTGCAAAGCATCCATGGAGATGTTGGTTTAGATAGACAGGCTTGCCCATTTTAAACAACTTGAAATATACCATTACTATCAGTAGGGTCGTGACAGATGAACTATTTATATGAACAGTAAGTTTGAAAGAATCCGATGGAAACAGATAAAAAAATGATAGGTGGAATCCCTGGTTTGAAGCCCACATGGGTACATACTGGCACTTCATTGTGGTTTCCATGATGGTGGTAAACAAGGGTAATTCACACACGCAAAGAATCACGACAAAGTTGGGAGAAAGTAAACAAGGCTAACAGCCAGGTACACAGGTATGTGGCAGTTTGAAGATCACAAAGAGGATGAAAGCAGCAAATATTTTCAAACAGCCGGGCCACCAGGTATACGTCAGTTTCAACATCAGAAGAAAACTGACAAAAACACAAGGAAGGTAATATCGTGAAAGAAAAACAGTGACAGAAGATTGAAAAAGGGATGAGGAACGCCACAGAGAGGAAGCATCAGCTGATAGCGTTCCACGGAACAGATTTGTATTTGAGCTATGCACCACAAATGATGAGAGTGCCCCACACAAGTGCAAGGTTTCAAGACTGCCAACTGTCGTCCACACATGCTTGCCATAGTTTTCTAACTTCTGTCAACATGGTGTGATATGCCTGGCAGTGGAATGAAAGAGTGATTAGAATGACGATTTCAAGTAGAACATCCATGTTGAACCATTTCAGTTGCCAAATGTCAGTGTGAATTTAAAGAAAGTTATTGGAGGCCAAATCTAAGCGATATAGCATTTATTAGAATTAGAAATTCAGAAAATTAGAAATTCACACGTATAACATATGAGTATAACTTCCATGTTGTCTCAGACAAAACGGAATGGTTGGAGCTTACAAACTGGAATGGTTGTCTTTCTTGGCAGAAAACCCAGTCTTCATTTCTTGTGATGTGGTGACAGCCTTGCCCTTCATAAGAAGCGTCCGAACATGTCAGGATAAAGATTCCTGTAATTTGGGCTTTAACATGTTTACCATTGATCCGAGACATTTGGGCAGTGAGGTCTTGGAATAATATTCCTTGGTTACTGGAAATGGTTTTGCCAAAATGTTGCTTTAAATTTGGTCTAAATTTGGTAATGAATGTTTATGAAAGTGTGTTCATTGTGGGCATGAAATGCTTTAACCATCATTGCCTAAATTATTCCATGTTTGGTTTACTTCTTCATGTGAGCATTTTGTGCATTGAATTAGATAATGCCATCATCTGAGCATTTGAAGACTTTTCATCATTTTTGTTGGTTGGCAAAGATTACAAAATATATTTCAGTATTTACATTAAACTATGATGTAAGATTGTATGTGAGAAGTATATACTTTACAGCTGGCAAGGCTCATGAAATTTGTTTTACGAAGCAGAATTCTTTAACAAGTAAGATCACTGGGAATTATCTATTAACCTCAGAAACTCGTGTTTCTGAAGACATGCCCAGATACTAGTCCAGTGGACTAGAACATACCTCATTACATGGTCCCCAGAGCTTTTACCTAGTCCTGATGGAACAACACATAAATGTTGACTGTCTTGTAAATTCTCTCTCAGTTTTATTCAGTTATAAATTGATGCCAAATTGAAGCATTGAGAACTCATGTGGAATTGTAGCCCCCAATGATACCAGTCCATGAGGACTACCCTCACTGTAGCTGTACTTGTCCTCAACACAACGCAGTAGGCCGCGGTCATTTCAAAGGCTAGTGCAAGTGACTGTGCAACGCTATTATCCTATCATTTATCAAGCAATCCATGTCTATTATGTGTAGACCACAATCTTTTTGTAACCACAGTTTTTCCAACTTTGAAGGTATCGTCTGGTAATAACAAATCTTAAAATCCTTTCTCCCTTTCTGTCATAGTCCGAGCAGTTTCTCATTTCTGGAAGTCGATTACCAATAAGCTGTAGAAGCGCTGAGGCAGATAGTGGAAGATTGGCTCTCGTGTTTGTTTAGTCCAGTTGGTTAACCCATCACCGCCCTGCCAGAAAATCATATCATATACATTGCCATCCCAGTGAAACTCATCCCTTCTTAATGACAATTTGATTGGGTTTGGTTTCAACAATTACTGAGCCGAAGTATAAGTAAAGCATTGAGACAGGTCTCTTGTGAGATGTTAATTTCACATTGATAGCAGAGGGTCTCCACAAGGGGTACTGACTTGCGAACAATAATGTGAACTCAAATCAAATTAATCATGCTATCAAATATCAAGTAACACTATTTAGGGTATTTAAATCAAAAATTTTAACATATTTATGTTTAATGTAGGTTTTGAGTTTGTTTGGGGAAGAATATGAAATGTATGAGTATTAAATCTTCACACCTCCCCCATTTAGATTCTCATGAGCTGATATCCCACAGAGAGCACTAATTTATAGGTAGGTTTAGGTTGTCAGGCAGGTGATTCTGCTCCATTTCTCAACCCTCATTACAAATGGCGCAGGTTAGCAATATGTTTGTTTTAAATGTTGAGGTTGATTGAAGGGTCATTGGCCCTGTGTTGAATGACAGTGTTGAATGATCCGTAGAAGATCTGATTTCACATCTGACCTGTGTTGGCCTGGCAGAGAAGAGAACGAGCCAGCTGACAGTGAAATGTATGTGCATGTGTGCTGAGTGGTAAATACATGCTCGTTAATTGGTTTTCTGAAGCAAATTGTTGGAACTAACTTGGTTAACTCTTTTCAAAGGGAACTACACAAAGGTCAGATGTGATTGAGCGTACTGATTGGCATAAGTGTGGGTGTTTGTGTAACTGTACAGTGGTGATTTGATGCTGCTGGTGTATTAATACACCAAGCATGAATCCCTTGGTATGTTACCGGCTGACTATGGTATCTGAGCTGTAAGGAACTGATGTCGCAGTTTAACAGGCCCTCCTGCTTGTTGTTTACCACTGAACACACCAGTGTTTCAGTAGTATGAAGAAAGTCTGTAGATAATCAATTGTGGACCAGATTATCCAGTGACTGATATAGTCAGCAATGATCAGGGAACAGCAACATGCCTGGCCTGTCTCATAGACCCTGAACCACATTATTTTCCCTACTGCCAAGCCCTATCTGCAGAGCTAAAGCCCTAAATGAAGCAAGTCTAGATTTCCTCAGGTTCAGGATCTCTGGTCTCCCTGGGGCTCCTTTTCAATTTATTTGGATTTGTTTGTTATTATCAAGATTACATATATTCAGAGACTAAGTGTTAGTCTACAACATGCCATACACTGAGCTTGACCACCTTTAAGATCTAAAGAATAAGCTGATGATTGTGTTTCAGCCATACGTCTCTGTTTTCATGAGGCATGTAGCTCATGTATAGACTAATAATGTTGGCTTTTGGGAGACAATTTGCTGAAAATGTGGATACATTTGGCTACTGGACCATGTATGAGGTTCCAAATTGCATTTCATACAGATGTGAAATTAACTATAAATGTAATTACCTAATAGGTCTGCAGTACAGTAGGAAGTCTTTATTTCTTAAAATGAAGAGAATATCTTGGCATCATTTTTTTTATATCAAACCGCAATTGAATGAAATAAATCTTTATTTATTTCATTAATAGATAAATTAATCTTTATTTATTTCATTAATAGATAAATTAATCTTTATTTATTTCATTTTGATAGTATGAAAAGGATCTCAGAGCATCCATGATAGTATAGAAGGATCTCCAGTATCCCTTGATAGTATAGAAGGATCTTACGGTATCATGATAGTATAGAAGGATCTTTATTTATTTCATTAATAGATAAATTAATCTTTATTTATTTCATTAATAGATAAATTAATCTTTATTTATTTCATTAATAGATAAATTAATCTTTATTTATTTCATTAATAGATAAATTAATCTTTATTTATTTCATTAATAGATAAATTAATCTTTATTTATTTCATTAATAGATAAATTAATCTTTATTTATTTCATTAATAGATAAATTAATCTTTATTTATTTCATTAATAGATAAATTAATGCTTTATTTATTTCATTAATAGACATCAAATTAATCTTTATTTAGTAATAGATAAATTAATCTTTATTTATTTCATTAATAGATAAATCTTAATCTTTATTTATTTCATTAATAGATGATAAATTAATTCCTATTTATTTCATTAAATAAATAAATCTTTATTTATTTCATTAATAGATAGAAGTAATCTTTATTTATTTCATTAATAGATAAATTAATCTTTATTTATTTCATTGACAAAATGTCGGTCATTTATTAACTTAGTCTGTCACTCGTTATTTAGCCTGGTATTAATTGTTCATTGATGATGTTTCATCTGTTGCAGCTATGTCGATGTTCGAGGAGGGCGAGAAGGTGGCACAGGACTCAGATTCCCCACCTTGCAGCTTGCGTCGGGTCTGTGCCTTCAACTTCTCCCATACGGATACTCAACATTACGGCCAGGTAATCTCTATGCTACTTGAGGGATCCAGTGGCCTGTGACATTGAACAGTTCAGGGTATGTCAAGTACCAGTGTTGGTATGGAGGGTCCTGGGGATCTTCATTAGCCTGCTCTCATATTGTGGGTTTAAGAGGATCTCCAGGTCCATTTGCTGATGCTGGACAGTTCAGGGTGTGTAAGTACCCATGTTGTACTGGTCCCAGGGGATCTCCAGGACTTGATTGCACAGGAGATCTTAGCAGTACAGCTGTTGCATGTATCCCTACTCTATGGGAGTATGGATAGTCTCAGCACTCTCTCTGTGCAAGAGGGTTCTGTATTCCATGCTGATGATCAGGGACAGAAGGTCAGACATCCACAAGAGTTCTTGAATGTTGCCTTGGGTGCTCCTTGAGATGAGCTGGCAAGTAACTATCGTACTGGCCAAGTTAGGACTTCAGAATATTGCACTCCTATGAAATCTTTCACTAAACAAACTCAGTCCATGAAACTCATTTTGAAAAATGATTATTTTTTTGGATTGATATGTAAACACTTTGTCAAGAAGATAAAAACTACTTTAGATCTGTCAGCATTATATCTTAAACATTCAGGAGGTTGTTTGTTGAGATAAGACCACCATTTGTTTCCGATTACTGCAACAGTTTTTATATCACTGATAAAATGGATTCAACTAGCATATCAGAGAGAAGGGGGAGTTCTTTAATAACAACAAATATAAAATGTAAAGAAAACACTTGTGTTTTTCTTTCAAATTTCAAAATTGGCAAGATAGAAGTGATGTAAACATGCCTTCTAGGCCTCCAACAGACGTTATCAAAGGTCACATGACTCACTGGTGTCTGTGACAACAAGCTGCCAAAATGCGACTTACGTTACACGGAACATTTTCCGAGGCGGCCCCTGTGGTGCTCAATGCTACAAGGTCAAGTGATCCCATGGGAGAGCAACACTGGCCCCACTCTCCGGGGTCGTCAGTCACGCCCTTTTCCTCGACATTATTGACGTAGCATCTCAAGGGAGAAGAGGATGGGTGGGGTCAGATACGTTGGAGGCCGTCATTTGTGATGTATCTTTTTATGTTGTGAGGAGACCTTTGGGATCTGGTTGTGGTGAGAACATGGGTTGGCTACCTTAGCTCTTCTGTGTTCAGTTGATGATGTGGCATGGGTTCCATGGGATGGCTCAAAGTTAGTCATACAGAGTTGACTCCCTTACCTGGGCCAGGATCGATTGGTCACACTTTTGATTTCCAGATTTCTTCCAATAATGATTTTTTGTCTGTCAGTATGTATGTTTACTTATAAAAGTGGAAATGGTTTTGTCGCTTCTATTTATTAAATTCATTACTTTTTGGGGTTGTATTTAAGAATATTCAGGGGGAACAGGGGATAAAAATTTGTCCTACAGACTTGTGTACCTTCAGCAAGCCAGAAACCTGTGTTCATTGGTGCCAACCTTAGTTCACCCTTATTGCGTGTTTAGGTTTGTCGGCACCTCACCCTTGCTTATGGACCACCTCTGTGGTGTTGTGGTTAGAGCGTCAGCCCGGAGAGCGGAAGGTCGTGGGTTCGATCCCCGACCGCGTCATACCAAAAGACATTAAAATATGGTACTTGTTGGTCCCTGCCTGGCGCTTGGCATTAATGGGTACAACAAGGACTGGTCAGCTCGGAGTCAGTATAATGTGTCTGAGTGGGGTATTCATGCTTCACTGCGGCATGGTATCTCAGTGGGCTAGCATTATAAAACCAGCTAAAGTCTGGGCTAGTACAAGCAGCCGTTCATACACATACACACGCATGCACGTCGTCATATGAGTGAAATATTCTCAAGCCCGACGTTAAACCCAATTTCACCTCACCTCACCTCAACTCACCTGTATCTTGGAACGTGGTTTTCATGCTGCTGTATGATAGGACGTCGTCATATGAGCGAAATATTCTCCAGCGCGACGTTAAACCCAATTTCACCTCACCTCACCTCACCTCACCTGTATCTTGGAACGCGTGGTTTTCATGCTGCTGTATGATAGGACGTCGTCATATGAGCGAAATATTCTCCAGCGCGACGTTAAACCCAATTTCACCTCACCTCACCTCAACTCACCTGTATCTTGGAACGTGGTTTTCATGCTGCTGTATGATAGGACGTCGTCATATGAGCGAAATATTCTCCAGCGCGACGTTAAACCCAATTTCACCTCACCTCACCTCACCTCACCTCACCTCACCTCACCTCACCCTTGCTTATGGGTTTCAAGTGAGTGGTAAACCTCTGACACCTGTAAACCTTCGAGCCTTGCTCCCTCATGATATAAAGGAAATACTGTTCATAGTGGCATTAAACCCAACTCACTCACTAGAGGACTACCACCACATTGAAGCAGGTGCTTGCCACACAATCCGCCCAGCAGCTGAGCCTAAAGAAACCTTTCATGCCACTTGTGATCTTTTGATTGTGTGATGGGTGTTACGTGGGTCTCGGCTCTACACATACCACCTGTGTTGTTGCTGCATGTTCTCCAGGCTTATCATGCTGAGTAAAACAAGGTTTTTGTGAGAAACAAAGCCACCCTATTGCTCTGGTTGTTGTACCCTCCTGACAGTCACACAGAACAGCCACGGTAGTCTGAAACCTGGACTCTTGGAGCTGGGAGTTTGGGCCATTTTCCAAAATAAGAAACAGGCTCATCTTGGAATGACTTCATCTTTTAATTCTGTAAGAATTTAATATGAAATCTGTTTGTTTGTATTTCCTGTATATCATTTGTTTCCCTTTGTATTTGGGCATTGGGTTGGCCTAGTGGTTACAGCGTTCCGCTCATTACACTTAAGGCCCGGGTTCGACTCCCCACATGGGTACAATGTAAAGCCTATTTCTGGTGTCCTCTGCTGTGATATTGCTGGAATATTGCTAAAAGCAGCGTAAAACCCTATTCACTCACTCACTCACTCTATTAGTTACATACTTTCTTGTCAAATTGTCCTCTGTTCATTTTAATATGATGGTGTTAAATATGTTAACCAATTCATCAGACTGAAGACTTGTATTTGATTAGGATCATTTAGTGAAACAGAGTCTATAAATGTTGCCCCTGGGCATTGGGCAACTCCCTCACTAACTGTCTGGTGAAACTGGGTTGTCATGACCCAGCATTTGTTTAAAAAAAAAGCTTATCAATTGTTTTACTCAAAAGCAGCAAAAGAACATGTGATTCTTTTGTATGACTGTCTATCTTGACAAATTGACTATAGTTACACAAAAGAAGTGAGCGTTCTTTCCTCCTTTGGAGTGGTATAAATTGTTAAATTGTTTATAAACTTCTGTAATTGTTGCTTACACACAACCTCCTGTAAGTGCACCTCAATAAAATCACTCAGTTCAACACAGAAGGGAAAGCAAATCACCAACAAATGACAGTGTTATCGCCATGCTGCAGGGTCTGTGCGGAGTCTGCATGTCATGATGCCTCTGATTATATAAGCTACAGGGCCAGTGGTTGTAGGTCTCGTCCCAGCCATGCAGATTGTTTTCGGATTCATCCGGGTTTGTAGGCCGACATTAAGTAATATGAGAGCAAGGATGGATCAGGAGGTATTAGGTAATGTGATTTTAAGGTCTCTGTTTTCCTGAGATAAGAACTCTCCATCGCTCAGAGGGAAATTCAAAGAGCAGAGCTTGTGCAGTTGTAGATTTGGTTGTAAGATAATCTCATCCATCAAACCGATTTGGACATGACTTTGGGAGGAAATGCGTGTTGGATCTTCCAAGATGTTCAGGGTTTTTTTGTTTCAAGATGTCCAAATGCATAGATTGATCATGGCTCTGAACCTTTAGTAGCACTCTTGCAGGTTTTTGAAACTTGTTTAATTGCATGCATATTAAAAATACTAAAGTAGCCTGAGAGTAATGGCCCAATGATGAATCTGAAGGTTACTGTTTTATGATGTATTGTCATTTGACCTGTCAGTAGGCTTGAACATGACAAAGTGTTATTGCTGTAACACGTAGATTGTGCAAAAAAAAATTATTCTTGACACTGTTGCCCGTTTATTTAAAATATTCAAAAGTTCTTCGCGGTAGTTTAATTGGAAATGCAAAATTTTGGGCATTCCCTTGAGGTTAGCAGTTTGTCAAATCTATTGGTCATATTTTATGCTCAAGGGGACAAATTTCACAGTTTTGCTTTTTTGATGTGTATTTTATTCCAGGGAGCATCAGGTCATAGTTTAGGCAGATCAAATGTCTTTTTGGCTGTTGACGATGACGCGACAGATTGAATTTGAAAGGCCAAGCTTGTGCACATGCGTGACTCACAAGTGTACATTTCATTGTCTTTGTTGAGAATGACTGATGAGTTTTAAGTTGAATCTCACTTGTTTACTTTTCACAAAATTGATTGATTTGGAGTGAAATTAGTGTTGCCATGGTAACCATGAAGACTTTAATACAATTTTGGTAATAAATTTCAGACTTAAACATTTCTTTAATATCATTAGGCCCTGTCTTTGTTTCATCAGCCAAGTCATGTTTTGTGCAATGGCTGACATCAGTGGCAACAATTGTCTATAACTCCAGATTATTTCACTGGAGACCGCTGTTGATGAAATCAAATGTGGTCAGTGGCATAAAATTATGCTGTTGTTGAATAATGGAAGAAATACGACCCCACTGCTTAGTCACTGTGAAACTAAAAATGGACGCTTCATAATGTCATTTGCAACTGAACACTTGAAAAATTACTGGGGACAATTGAATTAATTCTATTGCCATTGATTAACGGAGAAACGCTCAGGTTTCAAGAAATAGTAAGAACTTGCCTCAATACAGTTTCATTATTCCAGTTTCTGGTTTCCATGGTGTAAAGTGAAGGGTAACGTGATGGATGATAGAATTTCCAATGTTTATGTATCAATTGAGATTCTTTTTACATTTGGCACTGTAAAACATTAAACATAACTCACTCACTACTGTTTGCCATAGTTTATGTACTGTGTGGGTTGATTTGGCTCGAATTTAACAAAACCTTCCTGTATTTCAGGCTCCCCTGGCAATCAGTGGGGAACACCAACGCCATTACCCATTCCAAAGTTAGTGATGTTCGGTCAGCCTCTCACAGAACAGATTCCACCAAAGTCTTTCTGGCAGAGCCAGTTCGGACAGGACAGAGCAGGGTTTATTCAGTTCAACTTCAGTCTTTCTGCAACAGCCATATTGGGTGTGTATGGAAGACGGAGTGCCCCACCCACCCACATCCAGTATGACTTCATGAAGAGATTGGAAGGCAACCGAGTTCAATCAACAAGGTCAAAAAGGGCTTTGTCAAAGGTCAGCATGAAAGCAAAGTGATATGTTTCCTAGTCTTCAGATGTTAGAATATTTCATGAGATGCTTTGGGAAACACAATATTTGTCATTTTTGGTCCTCACTGTAACCTGTTTTGGACTGTTATGACCTTTTATCCTTATGATCCCTGTTGTGACCTATGACCCCTGTTGCAGATGAATGCAGGCAGGATGAGGCTGGTGGAGTTCTTGACCTCTGGAGATTGGTACCTTGGCATCTACAATGACAATGATGAACCACAGACTGTCACACTGGAAGCTGACAACATCAGTAAGTTCCAGTTAAACTGTTCCAAATTTCCAGTTAAACTGTCCGGAGTTTCCAGAACTTGCCCAAACAAGAATGTGGATTGGGTGGTCAGTAGCGAGTTGTGCTTTATCAATGACCTGTCGTGAGGCACAACTCTCTGATGCTTGGAACCGCCTCCGTGGTGTAGTGGTTAGAGCGTCCGCCTGGAGAGCGGAAGGTCGCGGGTTCGATCCCCGACCGCATCATATCCAAAGACATTAAAATATGGTACTTGTTGGTCCCTGCCTGGCACTCGGCATTAATGGGTACAACAAGGACTGGTCGGCTTGGAGTCAGTATAATGTGTCTGAGTGGGGTATTCATGCTTCACTACGGCATGGTATCTCAGTGGGCTAGCACTATAAAACCAGCTTCAGTCTGGACTAGTACAAGCAGCCGCACCTACACATACACCCGCATGCACGTTGTCATATGAGCGAAATATTCTCCAACGCGACGTTAAACCCAATTTCACCTCACCTCACCTCACTTCAGCACACCACACCTCACCTCACCTCACCTCACCTCACCTCATCTGATGCTTGGAACGTGGTTTTCATGCTGCTGTATGGTAAGACCAATTCCAGTTTTGTCAGGTGCTGATGTATCTGCCAAACAATTGGCTGGTCAAAACTTGCCCAAATAATGGTAGTTATTTGAAACCATCAGATGTTGTTAAATGTCTTTAGAGTAGCAATGTGCTGTATGTAATGGGAATGAAGTAACTGTCACAGAATGTTACACAGACCAAATCTAGACTTGGTGTTAGATTATTCCATATGTTCACAGTTTTGACAAAAGCCGAAAAACATTTACCAAAATTCCAACACTTGCTCTTCTGTGAGCTATATACTAGCGACATACAGTCATTCAGTGAGTATGTTTTACAACACTTTTAGCTATACTGGACTATATCACAATGGGTGGCCCAACTAATGGGCTTCACACATTGTGTGGAATCAAACCTGGTGCTTCAGCCTGATGAGTGAATGCTTTAACCACTGGACTACCCCACTGTTCTTAAAGTCATTAACAAAGTGGCAGATCAGTTAATGTTACTTTTGCGTCTGTTACAACATGAAACTCTGTAATGTCTGTCTACCAAGATAAAGTCCGAGCATTATTGGCTGGTAAATGTGTGTCTGCTGTCAAATATGTGAGTATTCAAATAGCAAGAAATGTCTTATCCTTCTTAGCTTCTGCATCATATTTGAAATTACCAATGTTCGAGCCATATAAGTAAAGTGTCTTGCTATGTTATCGGTCCCAGTGGCAATTAGACTGGCCAGTTTCCACATTGACATTTGGAGAGCGAGACTGTCGATGGCAAGTGTGGATTTTATGGTCATTTCTGGCAGTGGCTAGTCTTTCAGAGGCACTTATATCTATGTCTCATCTAGAAGTGTGATTTGTACAAATGTAACCTCGCCTGAGTATACAGACGACTTTTACTGATGTTCTTATCGGCCAGACTAGTTGATATTATCAGATGGGCATTAATTGTCAGGGTGGTACTTCCAGACATCTCCAACCTACACTCCTTCGGCAGTCTTCATCTCAACTGAATGTCAGTTGTCTGGACATTATTATGTTAACATTTAGGTGACAAAAATGTCTGTCTGGCAAAGTTTTGTCATTTATTAATTGTTTAAGAATTGTTATTTTTTCTGATTTTCAGGAATGCAAAGTGGTTGTCCTGGTGATTGCCATGGTAATGGACGTTGTGTTGGTGGCAGGTGTCAGTGTTTTCCCGGTTACCAAGGAGAAGCCTGTGCTGAAAGTGAGTTTGGCAAATTATTTTAAAAAGTGCTAGATGGCAAACTTATAACTGAGAGGTCAGGTAAATCTTAATTAGGGCTATGATGAATACACACTTGCTCTCTCCTGCCCACCTCTCTCTCACACAGCATTAGGGATATTGATGAATACACACTTAAAACCCAACCTCACTCACTCACTCTCTCTCACAGCATGATCATCATCACAGTAAGTATGATGAGTATAATCACCATTATTCTGGCATTTGTCAGCACATTGTCCAGGGTTTTACACAGACTTGGAGTCATGGTGACTCACAATATGTATTTTTGGGAGTAATTTTCAATATTTGGGAGTCATGAAAATTGTAATATTTCTTTGTGTTTATCATTCTCAGTATGTAACTGTGTATGTCACACCACGTACCAAATGAAACTACAGCATAGTTCAGTTCACACAGCCTGGATTACTGTCTCCTCTGAGCTCTCTGGAACAATCTGACAGCTCTGTAAAAGTCAAACTATCATCGAACAATATCAATTTTTGCTTATCAAATTGATTTTTATTGAACTGAATTGTAAGGCCACCTATAAAACTTGCGTCAAGTTTGAGTATTTTGAGAGTCATTTACAAAATTGTTGCGTCAAATACGCAGGAATCACGCGTCATGTAAAACCCTGATTGTCAGAGGGGGAAGTATCTTACATAATCATCTCCTCCCCTTTTTCTCTCTCACCAGACAGGAACAACTTTCCTTACTTAATAAATTAGGCAGCTCACTATTCTTTTTTTGTCAAAATTGAAAAAAAGCATTACAACTTCTTTGCACATTATTAGGCTGAGCCAGGTCTTTCAACAAGCAGTTAAATTAGATTAGGCTATGATTTTGTCCCCCTTGATGGTGCCGCAGTGAATACCCCTACCTCTAACACTGCACGCAAAATTCATCATACCACAAATTAAATAATGTGTGTTTGATCACTTACTGTCAGTTGTGCCTCTGGATTGCTAAGCAAATAAACACAGGCCCATTGTAAGTGATACAAATGGTTATCAAAGCCTGGACAACTCAACTTTGGGGAATTCCAATGAGCGATGTTATTAATGGCCCAACTTGAAGGAGGAATGGAGCAAACAGATATTATTCAGAATGGCTGACTCACCGTGCCACTGTCCTCTAATTATTCCACTGTCCCCATCGTGTCTGCAAGGACGTCCATCCAAGGATGGACGTCCTCTCTCACACACGGTAATTCATTGTCGGTATAATCCGCCAACTTTATGGTGTCGAGACAGGATGGTAATGAGGTTAAAACTCATATTTTCTTGTAAAATTTATCATTAACCTCGACGGGGAGACAGGATTATCATGGCTGACACCACTGTGGGGTTGCAGATACAGGACACGGAACACAGAGCACAAATAAATGCCTTTTTCCACGAGATCAACTCCAAAACTGATCGGATTCGTAATTGGTTTAAGCGATGGAATTGACATCACAGGAAATGCTGGACAAAACGTGAAAACAAATGCATTTTTTGGCAGACGGCCCAGAAACCTGTGGGGTTTTCAGCCCCTTGAACTGTCGAAATGAGACTTGCTTGGGCATCTGTGACAAATTCAAAATAAATGACATTTGTCCAGAAGAATGCTCTGAAACTTTGTTAGTGTAGCTATTGTGTCTGTTGATGATGGCCGCTAACAGTTGGCTGCCCCCAAGTTGGTCCAGGATCTCCTGGAAGAATTACGAAGAACGAGCTGACGCGCTCAGATTAATCAAAGTGTCACCAAGAGGTATTAGACCTTTAGAATCAAAAGCCAGAATTAAGTGAAACTTCCTCCTAGATCCATCTCTTTCCTCCCTCTCTCTGCTTCTCGGAACGGCAATAACGGCACAAGCAAGGGGCATGTGAAGCCATTGTTCAGGCATAGATGATTCAGTCAGCAGGACTCGCTCTCACCATTTCTCCAATTGAAAATTGCATCCGAAATTGAAACATTTTCCTTTCACTTGTCTAGCATCAAGGCAAAAAGTTTCCTCAAGCTTTCAAACGTGTTCCTCGCCCATTCACACCTTAATCAATGGCAGCCACTAACGTCAAAAATACATTTGAACATTGAAATTGAACTAGTCTCTCTGTCTCTCCAAACATTGGTGTATTTCACTGACTTGATGCAGATAATGGTATGAATTACATAATAGTAATGACCATTGAAAAATAAATATTGTCTTTTATTCAAATTGAATTTAAATAATCTAAACATACCGTTGTCACGGAGGTGGATCGTGGCTTTCGAAAGAAGTCAAGCTAGTTTGTTTTCATTTCCTGTTTTTCCGGGGATTGGGAGTTTTAGGTGGTATTGTATGTCTCCTGTGTCTTTGAGGGGTAGGAACTGTTTTTTGAAACCTCGGAAAAAATTAGTAGTTTTTTCACTGGTGAAATGGAGAAGGGTTTTGTGTCCCATTTCAATCAATTTAATCATCACAAAACGTCTGGACTTCATTTTCCTCAATTTCCAAGTATCAACATATCATAGCTTCACTTTGGAAACTTGATTATTTCGAGAATTTTAGATAACCAAGAGATGAATTTTCAGTAAAAAAATTGTCATTCCAAAATGAAATTGTCTCATTTAGGGAATCCGTCCCAATTTCCCCCCGATAACATCACGGGCATCCCCAAATCCCCTGTGACCACTCATGTTCAAAGGCCATATTCAGTCAGTCAAATTATTATTTTCAAATGTCAAAAAATCAATATGGCAGTCTAATTGTTTGTGAGAAGGACCTTAGGCACAACAGCCCCTCCGTGATATTTTCCTATTATGGGGTCGCGCCACTGCAGCGAGAAATACCCCTGTGTCGTCAAACGAACAAAGCCCACAGTCGGAATGTTACCATTCCTTGCAGACCTGCGACTGTCTTGTATGAAGACAAAAGGACCTGTACTAATCAAATATCGGCACTTCTGTTTCTCTTTCATGGACATTGACGACATTTACAATGAATAAAGGAAGTCCATTTCCTCATTTGTTGTTGTAATTGGGAGCGCGTCACTTTCGTTTCTAACATTTGCAAACTTTGGGGTCAAATTATATGCTATTGTCTGTTGATTAACTGACTACCCAACCCCATTGATAGAGAAACACGAAATGAAATGTAAACAGTTGTTCGTGGAAGGAATTAATATCAATATTTGGAAAATTATGCCCATTGTTTCACGTGTCATCGTACGTTTGGTTAGATCATATGCCAGCACAGATAAGTTGACAGAATAATATCGTTGTCACATGGGTGTCAAGTTTGCAAAATAAAGAGATGGACATTGCATAATACAAGAAAATTCTCTTTTTGTTTAAAATGAAGAAAAAATTATGTTACCTTCAATTTTGATTATTTATTTGAATAGTTTCTGTCATATGGGTCAACATTAAATACAACTTTAGCCTCTGCAAACAGATTGTGTGTAGGGATGGTGGCTGTATACAGTGGTAGGTGGCCATTTTGAATGTGCCAAGATTTCATACCAGTGTTTTGTGGGTGGTAATATTTCTGAGAGTGTCTTGTTGTCAACCATTGGGTTGTCAAGATTCTGTTAGTAACAGCCTGTTGTGTTACAGTGGATCACACTGCCAGTCAGGGTTTACCTGTTTCAATCCACGTTTTCCATCATGTAGGTTTCAAGTTTTGCAAAAAAGGCAAACACATTTTGTGGCTAACAACTATAGTTTTGTAATATTGTAACTCTATTTTGTTCTGTTTACCACAAGAAGGTGCAAGTTATAGCCCTGAATCATCACATGCGAGAGATAGAGAAGTTGTTATCCATAAAAGTCTTCCAGCTTCTTAATGCCCTTTGGAGACTTCTTTTTAAAATTTTGTTTTTGATTTCAGAAAAATGTCCAATTCTGTGCAGCGGCAATGGTTTGTATGCTCATGGTGTGTGCAAGTGCCACATGAACTGGAAGGGAAGAGAATGCGAGTATCGAGAAAATGAATGCCAAGTCCCCAACTGTAACGGAAATGGACATTGTATCAACGGACAGTGCGTCTGCTTCCAAGGGTTCCAAGGACCAGATTGTGGCATTGGTAAGTTCTGTTATTGTCATACCTTTCACCCACACTGGATCAATGGAAGATCCACCCATATGTTGCAACATTATTGGCAGCATGTTCCATTCATTGTTCAGGGGTATGCCTGATGTCATGAAATGGCAAACTAAAGGAAGTGAGTTGTCTTGCCTCGGGGATTATTGGGAGACCTGGCTTGAAAACCACTGGGATTAGTATTGAGATATGAGACTTGTGAATTGTCCCCTAAAAGTATTGAGGAATACAAGATACCAGCATGTAGAAAATTCTTCTTTTAATGTTTCTATGACAATTTCTTTTCTGTCACAGAATTCCCTGAAAGAAATACACTGACAAAACTTTCTCAGTACTTGTTGAAAGAAAGCCAATAAATATAATGGAATATTGTCAGCAAAGAAACTGTTATCTACAAAAAGAAGGAAAAAAAGTAATTTCATTTTGATTATTTTCTTCTCCAAACTTAATACGAAAACCAACTGTCATGGTTGGTCTTTGAATTAGATTCATTTCAAGTAAGGGTAGTGCAGTAAAACATTTCCAGCTAATGCCAAAATGGGATTAGTTCAGAACAACACAATATTGTTAGCTGATGGTGACTGAACCTTGTCTGTGACAGATAGGAATGGTCAGGAAAAATTAGTTTCTTTCTCTAGAACTCTGTAAGAGTGTCTTCTTTCTTCTGTAGAGATCACTGTGGTAGAAAATATATTACCTTGCTTAGTAAATGCTTCTATAGTTAAAGGAAAGACAAAGAGGAATCGTTTGTAAAACTGGAAGTATATACTGACTGTAACATGTCGTTATTATCAGCACCAGTTTGTTGTGTTTATAACATGTAAATATTGAGTGAGTGAGTGAGGGGGTTTACAGCAGCTTCAAACAGTACTCCAGTTATATCACAGCGTGTCAGCTTAGCTTGGGAGGAAAGCCTGATGTGATGCTGGTCTCTGAGGTTCACCATTTGGTGGAACCCATGAGCATGGGAATGATGCTGACACATATTTGGTGCCAACCAAGATTCGAAACCACGTCATACGTGTTTCATCAGGGTTCAGTGTGGCCAAGGGACGCAACTCTGTACGGTGACTTGCAGCTCCTGAGACAATGGGCCACCCTTGCCCCTGTAACATGTTGAGTGTTTGGTTTGTTAAGTAAACTGAAAAAGGAATCGACTGGTGATAACAGAATTATAACGTGCAATCCAATGTTTCATATGTATACATGTATCCTTTAATTTCATCACACGTTTAATAATTAATTTCTTTTTTCTTATTTTCTGCTGTTGTGCTTTTCCAACTTGATGTAACATATATGATTTCATATCTCAAAACTAAACCATCACAAAGTTCTTGTGAAATCTCTTCACTGATGGCTGGTGGATGTGTTTCTTAATGATGTATATTCTGTGATGGTTTGGTTTCTGAGACTGTCATGTCTATGGAGAACTGATGTGATGTTGATATGGTCGTCAGATGTGTTATAGGTCCAAGAATGTGGAAAAGGTTCATCGCAATGAGATACTCCCAAAGTATTCCTCTCTTGACAATTTCTTGAGCTTACCTTCCCCACCCACCTTCTTCACCATCTGTTATTGCCCTCTCCTACCTCTTCCCTGGGCCACCCCAGTTTCCACCCACCCAACACAGCTCCTCCTACCCTCTTCCTCCCACCCTCTTCCTGCAAAGCTCTGGTGAAGAAGTCCTATAAAGACACTACATTCATAGACCACTCCCTCAGTTAACACTCTTCTAATTAGCATCGGGGCGGTGGGGTAGCCTAATGGTTAAACCGTTGGCTCGTCACGCCGAAGACCCGGGTTCGAATCCCCACATGGGCACATTGTGTGAAGCCCATTTCTGGTGTCCCCCGCCGTGATGTTGCTGGAATATTGCTAAAAGCGGCGTAAAACCAAACTCAGTCGGTCAGTCTAATTAGCATCAATCTAACATTCCAAATTTTATGAATAACCATGACAATTTTCATAAATGTTTCTACTAAGGGAATGCTTAAATGTTAAATATATTAACAATAAACGTGGACAACACATGTCTGAACATTCTACAATGTTAACAATGTTATGAAATAGGGCTTGATAATTAACTAATCAGCATTAATGAAACAGGCAACTGCCATTTTGGCTGCCATCTCACGATGACGGCAAGCTGTTCAAAAAGACATCAAGGGGTAGTTTAGTTTAACCATGTTTTCCAACACACATCTGGAACTGCAATGCCAGAATGTTTTTTCTTCCCCAAGTATGTAAACAAATGGGGCAGGGGGACTGTGTGTTTAGATTCCACCTCATGCTATTGGTTGGTCCCCCAAAATACTCAGCTGCGTGTCCCAAGCTGAACTCCTGCCGCTCAGTGCCAGGAGAAAGCAGATGGCGACAATGCCTTGCCATACATTGCTGTTAACATAAAATATCTAATATAGCACACAGATGTTCAGAGTAAAATATTGATTGAATGCAAAATGGAAAAATTATCACCCTGTTGCTTTAGAAAATTTGGAGTGAAAAAATGGCTGTGTAGGCTAGAAACTCTAATTCTGTATTTCAAAAGATAAATTTGTGGCACTCAGCTACCCTGAAGGCAGTTGACGAATAACGTAAGCGAATCAACATGCTGTGTGACTGATCATGATCGGAAATAGATCTTAGAAAAAGGAAGTTTTTTGTACAGGCTCACGGTGAATGATTTGTCAGAGTTACCTCCCCTTCACAAGTTATGAATCACTTCAAGTCTTTTTTCACGCCAACACTGGTTTCCTTCAGTGTGAAAAATTGGGGAATGATGAAGCAATGTGACCAGTCAGAAAATTTGTCCTGTTGCGTATGGAAATGGAAGAGTAAAAAATGGGAAATATTCCCAAAAAAAACAACCAAATTTGCATTTGAAATGGAATTTTGCTGCTGATTTAAAATACTATTAAAACAGCTGAAGATTGATACAAAATGGCCTTCGAGCGGAGTTGATTTGGGTAGAGATGAGATTTGTATAGTGTGATATGTGTGGTGGTGGGAATAAGGTGTTTTACAACGTGTTTGTTTATCAATTTATTTCTAGGCTGTTTTTGTTATCTCAATTTATATCATAGATATGATATCAGCTGCTTGTTTTAGAGTTGAGTCACAGACAAGTGGTAATTGTGTTCCACATATCTTGTAGCACTCTGACAGTGAGCATCACATCATTTCTGTTCAGACCAACTTGATCAGATTGAGAGAGGGTGTCATGTTACTGTTTTTGTACAGTATGACAAAATATACTAGCTTCTGCATAGAAAAATGGCTCCGAAAAGATTCTTTGCGAACAGATAATTCTGTATAATTTCACACATAATTCAGTGTGTGTTCACATTATTCAGTTTATTCTCCGAATTCTGTGGTGTAATTACACGAGCCGAAGCTTTTTTATCCTAATAAATGTTGCAATGAATGTTTGTTGTAACAGACTGAGGTAATATGAGCCACAGTGCAATCTGATCAAGTCTGGAGAATATAATGAATAAGACTGTGCAAGAAGTTGTCCATATGAGATAAAAATCTTTTAAATGGGTAAAAAGTGAATTACATTAAGAGATGTCCTTATGAAAATATGCAGTATGAAATTTCAAGAAAAATATTATGAATAATAATGTCAACAAAAAGGGTGAAATTCTTTAGGACATATTGGCCATTTTACATCAGAGCTTAAATTTATAGTTTTAGATATTATATTTCAAAAGTGATTTATGTAAGAGCGCTTTGACAAGTCAGGTTAAAGTTTGGAGTAGCACTATGGTTTCTAAAATGTGAGTAGCGAAATGATGGTTGTCATCTTGCATCCGAGAACCTCTTGCACATGTCTCTATGTTGTACAGTGTATTTCTGTATAAGTCTCTGTGTTAGTGTGCTTGCTTTCATCTGTGCACTCTTTCTGTTGCTTTCTCAGTTGACTGTGTTATGTCCAATTGCTCTGGTAACGGGGTGTGCATCCACGGCCAGTGTATGTGTTTCAAGGGCTATAGAGGGAATGCGTGTAGCGTACCCGACAAAATAAATGTGACGCAAATATGCGCTAAAGACTGCTCAAGCCATGGAGTGTACGATGTGGAGACCCATCGCTGCATATGCGAGCGCCATTTCACAGGCGAGGACTGTGAAACAGGTAATGCATCTTGGGAAGGAATGCCATTTAAATCGAATGTAATCATTCATAATCGGCTTTTGCCACCAGCTTCACCTGTAGCCTCTAACCCATTCTGTAGCACTAACGTTCAATTACTACTACCACTTGTAATGCAAGGAGGAGCCATGATTAATAGCGTGGCAGTCAAAGAGGTGTCCACAATGCATCAAAACTGTCGGCCATTGCTACAAAACTGTCCCCAGTTCACACTGTGTGGTTTGCCCATGCTTTGAACTTCCAACCCTCTCGTATCTACAATTGAGCAGGACTGCAATGGAATCGCATTTGGTGAATTTAATTACACTGTGTTCTCTTTCGTCCAACTTTAAGCTCATGTATCATGTGACAGGCCATAAATGACTTGCTACTATCACTGTTGATCTGTTGGATATGAAAGTTACGACACTCTAATCAGCATGACGCCAGTTAAACTCATGTATGTTTCGTTACATTTTTGGGAAGTATAATTAATGTTCTTGTTGCCGCATGAACCATGTTTTCTTGTGTTAGTGTTTTTTGTTGTTATGTTTTTTACTTCCATCGCATGTAAATAAATGCCACTTGTCACATCTGACACTCACAAATGTCTGTTGTCCGAATGTTTAACAGAGCGCTAATTTTATTTGACATGTTGATAAGGGTTATTCTTTAGGGAATAATTGCAGGGCGTAGTTTCATTAATCCATTCAGATGAGTGGGATCAAAGGGAGATAACTGCTTGTCAGAGACAGATCACCCGGAATGGACAAGGGATTTGCAACTTGAGAACTTTTAACATAATCATGAGAGGTCACTTTCTGTTGACTGGATCACCCATCACTCCTAATGTGAACAGTAGACTGGTCCTAATGAATTGGTGGGTCAGTTCTATTATGAGATAGGGTGGGTGGCAGGGGGGTGTTGGTCAGCATATTCTGAGTGTTTATATATTCATATATATTGTCTTCTGCTTATAATATATTTTGTCAGTATCTCTTTTAGCATGAATCATACTATTGATATGATCTCAGTTCCATATGTGCACAATTCAAAATGAAACACATACAGAATATGATTTTGTAACATTTGATAACAATGACAACTTTGTTTAACATGAATATGTCCTTTAGGTTACCATGTGGCTTAAATGGAAACATGATAGTTAATTCAATCATTGCTAAATGCCATTTTCTGGTGTTCTTTTGCAAGGAACAGTTTGCCATATATGTGAAGCCATTTCAGTCAGGACGAGAAGGATGTGTTCTGTCACAGCTTGGAGCATGGTTGCTATAGCTCTGACAGAGGGTTGCCATCCAGCAACACAATGAGAGCATTAGACACTGGCATCATGTCCTGATATTCTCTGTGTTTTGTTATCAAACAAGCCCTGAATGGCACATAAGTTGCCCGGATTTTGCACCGTTACCATCGGTCTGTGGAAAATAAACATTGTACAACGTGCAGCCTTGCTGTGTTAATTATCAGCTGTTGAAATTGATAATTGATCAGTTACATCCCTTGTTGCTGGTTTCCAGAAGGCTTGGCTTTCCAAGCACAGTGGGTAATCCTTGGTACAACAAACAAGTATGGGTGTGATGTACCAGCCTATTGTATAATGGCTAACAAAGGTTGAAACACACAATTAACTTGGAATGCTTGACAGCTCGTTGGCTGGTTTATTAATTTCAGCATGATTTTATGGTTTTCATGATTTGATATTCATTGTTTTGTGGTGAAGCATTTGTTTCATATTAAATTGTTTACTAAAACAGTTTGTAATTTGCCATGTTTATGCTTCATGGAAATTCTGTAAGAATTTATGTGTACAGTTGTAAAATCTTACTTTAAACCCTTTCTAAATGACACCTATTCAAAGGTTTATTCTGTTGTTAGAAATACCTTGAAATAGTTCTAATTTTGAATTATGCATTTGACATCATCAAACTTTGTTTACAAAGTCTGACTCTTTCACTTTCTGTGTAAATCTGAACAACAATCACAGTATTTTTAAGAGAAGAATTTGTACTAAATGAACTCATGTGTGCTTGAGAGATGATGTACAATTTCTGATAAAGTAAATATTTCCTCTTCAATGCGTTAACATATTTGTAATTGATTTTCAATAAAAGCCACACTAACTATTGAGAACCTGTTGTGAATCCTTCGCCCTGACTGTCTCGATGCTGGTTCAGTAATAGTGCCCTACACCCACACTGCCTGGCTATTTCACCTACTCAATACCTTGGTCGTTGTGTTGGGGCTGCTAGTTAGCCATATTTACTTTTTGTTTGCAGAAATTTGTCGACTTGAGTGCTTTCATGGCTTCTGCAAAAATCAGCGATGTGAGTGTGACGAGGGTTTTACTGGTGCCCTCTGTGATCAGCTTAAATGCGACCATCGATGTGAATTGCACGGATACTGCAACAATGGGACCTGCACATGCCAGAATGGTTGGAATGGAAAGCACTGCACAATTGGTGAGAAGGGAGATAATTCTTTGGCAAGGGGAGATAATGCTGTTCTAATTGGTCAATAATATTTGAGAATAGATGCATTGAATTTAAGAGTTAATAGATATGAAATGTAGTATTTTTTCATTTTTTTTAGATATGGTGTGTTTTTTTAATGAATTGGAAAACATGTACTACAAAATTGAAATCTATCATTTCGCCTCTCTTATTAATATATTTTTGGGCATTATTATAAAAAGTATTTAATCATTCTTCAGATCAGCAAATTAATTTCTTTAGCTAAACTATAAACTTTAATGCATGCTGTACATGGACATTTGTCAAAAATACAGTGCGAAAAGCAATGCAGTTAACTTTGTTTATAACAATCAAGGACTAATAATTCTGGTTTATATAACTGTAATTTGATATACACAAGGAAAACAGTTGGTTACTGTGTATGGTTAATTCATTGTTAGCATGTTCTTATCATATATAGTTTACTGCATATGTAAATTTTTGGGAAGGCAGTATTGAAGTAGGTTTTTGCTGATGTTTAAATCTCACCTCCTGTTGAGTTGACCTTTGTTTTGGCGAATGGCTTTGAGGTCACACAATAAAGGTAACGATAGGGACCTTTTCTCCTGACATTTTGTAACTATTATGGGATATTATTCTCAGGCCGCTCATAATTGCACACTTTGAATATAGACTGTGAAATTGATCCAATTACATGGAGATGAATGGCAAAATGAACAACGGAATCGTGTCAGGCGGTCATGTGATAGGAAATTGATTTGTGCTGTTTTAATTGCGCTGTTATAAAACAGTTCCAGCTATTATTTACTGGGAAATATTGCATTGGGGTCTTACAGAATCGGAAATCTATGTTTTATGATGGGATTAAATTTTACATTTCTCTGCAAATGGGAAATAAGAGTAATGTTGCAGTCATAAAGAAAATATTGAGAATTCTATCCTTGCAGCAACAAACCAACGTAATAGCACTTCCTCTCATGGGAAATGTTTTCCAACAGACTCTTTTTGCATCTGGGTATTTACAATGAGGAGATTACTCCCAAGGAAGCTATACCGTGTGTTTGAAATTTCAACCATTTATCTGATGTAGAATTGATTCTTAAAGCTTTTTGACTGGCTGTTCAAAGTATGAATAATTACGTTATCATACAGAGGAAAGTGCTGGATACGTCTTGTATTGCCCGTCAGAAATTGTCTGAAGAAATGTATGAAGACGTGAAATATATAAGATGAAGAAGGTGATTGCTTCAGTGAACAGAGTAATAATAGAAGTAATTTGAACTCTTAGATTATACCACTCAACTTTTGATAAGGACCACACCTTTTGATAAAATTCTTAGTGAATGTTGACCTGTAATGGCAAAACTGTGAACTATTAGTTTGAAGTAAAGGTATTGTTTAGTTTGGTTAATTGTAAATTGTACATATTTCATTATTTTAGAAGTGAGAACGCAGAATCTCTTCCTGAAACTGAAAATTCGCTGCAGTATTGCTGACGATTAAAAATGTGATGTGAAATGCAATTTTTTCATCAAATCTGTTTTTAGTGTTTTTGAGTGAGATTAGCATTAATTTTTAAACATGAAAATGTACTTAAAGGGATAAATGTAAAGATGAAACACTATATGACACAAACACGGAGTGCTCTGCTGCTGTCATAAGACATAATGTGTTACATTGAAGGGACAAAAACTGTCCACATCATTGCACGAAACACTGATTTGATGAATTTAGGTATCAAAGGAAGATTTAAAAGAAGTGGCTTTGTTTGATGGGAGTGATTGGCAGGTGTCATCGTGTGACCATATAAGGAAGCTGATCCAATAACTTGTCAATTACACTTGGCACGCCATTTACGTTTCCCAATCTGTCCAGCTGAATGGGTTGGTATCGTGAAGCCTTCGATGCATTCAGGTTTACTTTCAGTCCATTTAATCATGATATGCTGGTTAAAGACAAAAACTTTAAACTTGAAAGAGATAAAACGGCTTGAAGTTATTGAATTATTTCACAGGAGTTAGATATGTGTTTCATAAGGAGAGGTTCTTTTGGGGTAACATTCTGGTAAAATGTTTGAGTAATGTGAACTTCATTGTGATTAGTGATCTGAGAAAAATCAAACTAGTAATTTTTAGCAATGCAGAGTATTTGGGTTGGGGCATTTTGTCTAATAAGGGGGATTGTCCAGTTTGGCTGGTCACTCAGCCCGTGATGAAGGGCTGGCAGCCGCTATCAGTGTAATGCTAGACTACAGATAGAGGTTGAAGAACAAGCAGTTCTTCCATATGAATATCACTACTCTGTCAAAACATGACAGATTAACCATAGTTCTTCAAAATAATTATGTGTTCTTAACTTCTCTTGAGCAGTATATAAGTTTCTGCCTCTATTTGTTCCAGATCAGAATGTGTTTATTTACATGTGGGTTTATTTCCATGTGGGCAGGGTATGTCTGTAATATTGCTGACTCCAGCACAAACACGAGGGACAGGCTCCCTCGCCAACCAAATAAAATAAATCATTTCGTCCATTTTAATGTAGAACTCTCTCCCAGTCACTGTAAAACCAATTGTATTAATTTGAAAATACTGAGATGCATTATTATTTCTGGGAATTATTTCATTTGAGATACAATATTGGAAGATAAATACTTTGATTAGGCAGTAGTTCGTGTTCAAGAGAATTATTTAACACTTAGGTCCTTGCAGAAACTTTCAAACAATGTGAATATTTGTTTTAATTAAAGAATGCTAATGTTTATTTAAAGCCTCCTGGCCAGGTCTGACAAAGTGAATTACATGTCCATTGGCATTTCCTTCGTAGCTGCACAACAATTTACATTCCCACGGGAGCCAATTTAAAAGCTTTTGTGTAAATTCTTAAATATTGTATTATCCTTTGTTAGAAAGTTGGAACTCCATATGGACAGTTATTCATTTGGAGCGTTGTCGTCATAATCGCGGAGATGCATTTGTTCGTGAAAGGGAGACGATTACACCAGTGATCATGACACCATCCCAAGCATTCCGTTTCTCGGGTGTCATTCATATCAGTTTCAACATTTTATTGTATTAAAATATTATACTGACGAGAAAGATGCCATAATAATTAAAGGCCGTCTGTCCACCTTTTTTCATCGTTAGTTTCAATTAAGAAATTATCATTAGGCGTTCTTAGGCAGATGGCCCATATTGCTTGGGCCGGCCCATCAATCAGAGAGTCTTAGGGCAGTATTATGCAGAAAATATAATATGTTTTTGACATGGTGCTAGTCTGTCTGGGATTTTAGCCCTATCAGGTGGCAGACGCAGCCTTTGTAGAGACGTTTTGAAAAATGTGTCCATTTGCTTCAATCGGATTGTATTCTCACACATGTAATTGTACAATGAGATGGTTGATAATGAGATTGGACTCAAGTTAAGCATCAAACTCATTACTCATGCAGTGCGTGATTATGTTGGAATATTATTTGTGGGTTACATTTCTGAAAGTCTTCATCAATTATGAACTATTGTTTTTAAGTCGAATGGTTGGAAATTTGATATTTCAATTTTGTATAGCTGACATGTGAAGGTTTTGTTTTTTTAAAAAACAACAACAAAAAAACATCCATGGTGTTTTTATCATTTAGAGTGTTGATGACCCATAAAAAAAATTGTATTGAGTGTTTGACACATCATCAAAACTATTGCATGAATTGACTGTCATCCATGCTTGAAAATGCACTATTAGTGGAAAAAGAAAAAAAAAATGTAATCATCCTTTGACAAGGTTTAATGGGTATAATCTTTGAAAAAAGTATTTGTATTGTTAGTGGTTCAGTCTATCTGCTTCTGTTGTGATGTGCTGATCTCAGGGGATATAATGATAATATTCTCTGGAAGGCCATCTCCAGCAAGTTATCAAAACATGAAACAATTTTCAGATAATTGTTATATCATATGAGTTCACGGAGTGCATGTTTGCCAGTCCCATTCAGTAGTGACTGACATAGTGCTGAAGAACTAAATTTGATAGCTGATGGTGGAACAGATGAAGCTGAAAAATACTTAACCGACTTATAAATGTTTTTTGTCCTTTGAAGGAAGATGTATAAGTTTCTGCAGTGTCCATTTGCCGATTACTCTCCTTATTCGACACTGGTTCTGATCCCACTGATGTAATTTGATCACAGCACTTTCACATTAACAGATTGATGTTTGGTGTGTTTTTTTCACAAATCCCTCTTTTTGTATCGACAGACGGCTGCCCTGATGATTGTAGCAACCATGGCGATTGTAAAAGATTCCGAGAAGGATGGAATTGCACTTGCAGTGAAGGATGGAAGGGCTTGGCGTGCAACATTGCGAAGGAAACCAAATGTGACGATATGGCTGACAATGACAATGGTATGCAGTCACGTACATTACACACACTCTCGACAACAGACGGCCCACAATCCTCACTTTCGTTATGAATCACACACTTTGATTCTGCAACATTACACAAATCGCTTTCGTCTCGGACATGCAATGGCACGAGAAGCCAGGATTGTTTAATTAATTGATACGTTCCAATGACTAACTCGCCGTGCAGTCGTCACATGGTACCGGGTCGGACATGTCGTCATTGATGTCGTCGTTGATGCCAGTCTATCTTGCAGATTGTCTGTCAGAACTCTCTCTCTCCCAGACATGTTTGCAGATGGAGTCAACATGACTCAAAGGTGTATCAGTAATGAAAATGATAAGACGTCTGCTGCCATTTGGGGAAATTGGAAGAAAATCACGAACCTATGTTGAATATGATAAGTTAAGTACCTCTGGTAGTTATTAAAACTGACCCAAGTCATATTTGAATTTTGCCATCAGGGAGGAAATCATGTTTAGTGCATATTTCTGTGTAACAGGAAGACTCTTGATGTGCAATAACTGAGTCATGTTCCTGGTTATGCGAGGGAGGAGAACATGGGAGGGGCAGCTTGTGCATGATGGGGACGCAATTCAGGGACTGATATTGATTTGATTATTAGTCCCGAAAGTCAAATAAAAAATGTAACAGAAAGAGAAAAAATAATATGTATAGCAAATGGAACCAGTTTATGTTGCTGTATTTACCTTGAAGAGAGGAAGGGTAGTCCACAGGCTGAAGCTCCCACCCTTTTACTGAAACCCTGGTTTGATTCTTCTAGTTGTTACAATATATGAGGCCAACCGCCTCCGTGGTGTTGTGGTTAGAGAGTCCGCCCGGAGAGCGGAAGGTCGCGGGTTCCATCCTCGACAGCGTCATACCAAAAGACGTTAAAACATGTTACTTGTTGGTCCCTGCCTGGCGCTCGGCATTAACGGGTACAACAAGGACTGGTCGGCTGGGAGTCAGTATAATGTGTCTGAGTGGGGTATTCATGCTTCACTGTGGCATGGTATCTCAGTGGGCTAGCACTATAAAACCAGCTTCAGTTTGGGCTAGTACAAGCAGCTGCACATACACACGTATGCACGTTGTCATATGAGCGAAATATTCTCAAGCATGACGTTAAACCCAATTTCACCTCACCTCACCTGCAATATATGAGGCTGATATTGTGGTGTTTTAGGTAATATATGGGTGAAATAACACTATAAACTATACAAAACCCTTTTTCTCCTGCAAATGTGAATATGGTCTAGTAGGTTCATGCTGTTTCTCATGTTTCTTTGCCTTGTAGATGGACTGTTGGATTGCCTGGACCCAGACTGTTGTTCGACCGTGTCCTGCAGTAATGACCAGTATTGCAAGGTGTCGCCAGATCCCAAGGACGTCCTCCTTAGCAAACAGCCACCAAGTACAACAGCCTCTTTCTTTGACAAGATGCGCTTCCTCATCGAGGAAGACAGCGTACAGACCCACGCCACTCGCAATGCCTTCAATGAAAGGTGAGGTCACTACCATATCTTAATTACTGTTGTAACGATCAGTAATGGCAGAACACTTTTGCTTTGTTGAGACAAGACTCGTCACTGAATCGTAGACTTCATTCAGAATCAGATTGTTGACTGCAGCATATGACATATAGCCTTCTAAGGTATGACTGTATGACACGTAACATTTATTTAGTTGTGTTTCGAACAACACAAGACTACTTTTCTGCTTTGACGACTACTGTATCTGGGTCCTGGATGTGCAGTAAATAGGTTCATTGCAGGGTTCCAGGTTTGAATCCTGGCGGTAAACATTGTCAGCTGGCTCTTTATTATGTGATATAGTTGTAGGTAACTGAAAGCCATGGAAGGACGGGATAACTGGCTGCTCTGCTTGACCAAGGCTGCTTAGTGCTTGTATTGTTGTTTGTTCATTTGTTGTTTAATGATGCCCTCAGCTGTATTCCATGTACATGACAGCTGTTTTTAACTACTTGAGTCTGGACAATCCAGTGATTGACATCATGAACACTGATCTACACAATGTCAGTGAATCTGAGTTCCATCTTGCAACAATCATGGTTTGCTGAAGACCACATCTAACTCTGCTCTTTCTGAGAGTTGTGTTGCGGTATGTTTATGAAGGGGTAGAGACAGACTGGTGTCAAGTTCATCTCATGAATATTTTTCAAATTTACTGATCTTAGGATTCTTTTTTTTTGCTGCTAGATATTTTTTAACAGTGTAGATATTATTGGATTTTGTTTGTTTCATTGGATAAGAAATGGTCTGAAATCTTACATTGGAAACTTGAGATTATTACCTGGTTCACACATCTTTCTTTTTCAACCTACATTTATGGTAATTAATATTTCACTGGTTATTGATTTTGTGGATGGGTTTGTTTCCAGCTATGTCTTTTACAAGCTGGAGCTTGTGGACAAAGGCTAGCACTAGAGTTGGGTCTGAGATCAAGTGAAGTAATGTTTGGAATAATTCACCACAGAGCCACATTTCTCAGGTTAATGTTGGTCATGTCGGCCAATTTTGACAAAGGACAGAGCTGTTTTTTGTAACCCAAATTTCATAAGACCCCCCTAGATCCTTGTGACATCTCACCTCCTGAGAATAAGTGGCGATTACGTTGATTTTTTTACAGCAAATTAAGTCAATTGTACCCACAACAAACGCTGCAGTTCAGCTTAATTTGAAAATATATGCATCATTTGTGCAGTTTTCTCTCTTTTTTATGAAAAGAAACCAAATTAGAGGGTCCTTTACCAAATCACTTGCCTTGACATCGGTATGAGTCAGCTCAAGGTTGTCTCCCCTGAAAAAATTCCCCAAATGTAATTGATGTGCTGTCAAAGAGTCAGAGATTTTTTCACCAATATTTGAGTTCCAGACACTGGCACTGAGATCTGCAACGACCTCAAGAAACATCAAACACTTGAGATGTCGATTTAGATATATTTAGACCCCACTGTATAACTTCATGTCATCATACTGGCCTTTTAATGTTAACCCTTTAGGGCAAATGTATGTTTTTTCATACAAACACATATTTCTCCATAAATGAAAAATGTTAATACCAAGTTTCATATTTGAATTTAATCTTTAAAGACATGGTTCCGGTTCTTCCTTTTATTGTCTGAAAATATTGTCAATTTTCAGTGAAGGTTGGAACTTCTGGGTTCAAATTTTAACACAGTTATTAAGAATTTAATCCAGTTAAATGTCATTCAGCAAGATCAGTGCCTGTGTTTCATGTCGTATTCATAATTTCAGCTTAGAGACAACCTGATGTTATTTTTTCTTCAATGGAAATTTATATTTTTTTAAAATTCTTAAGATGTGACGGTTCTTTTAACAGTGTAAAAAGATGTCTGTCAAATTTAAGACCATGTGGGCAGGTTTACTCCAAATTGTGAAATTGAATTTTTCAAGATTGAATTGGTGTTATTAAATTGAATTTTCAGTATTCTTCCAAGCCTGTGCTTGGGCTCAAGGGTTAAGCTCCTTCATTCCTCAGTGATCTGGTCTCAGTTGGCAGGAGACAGCAGCACAGAAGTGTTGAGGTCCCAAAGTTATCACTTGGCTCCCCACCCAAATGCCAACCCCAGATTTCAGCACATTGGCAAAACTCGACAGAAGTTCAATAATCCCTAATGTGTTACATTTTGTGCCTGAATCAGACAATTACGCTGATTTAATCTTCATTTAAAACATTCTTCCCATATCTGTTCTCTGTCGAGACTTTTCCTTCCAGTTTTGGCACTCCATCCCACATTCCCTAAAGTCAACGGAGACGGGTTTTACTCCAATAAGATTCCTGCTTTACCCATTGGCGTTATAATGGCTTTACGCAATCCCGCAAGGTGGCTTATTTGGAAAAATTGTTTCATTGTTCCAACTGAATGATGGCAATTTTGAAATTACTCCCGCTTTCTTTGTTCAACCCTTTTAAACCTTTTTTAATCTCTCAACAAGATAGGCCATTTATGAAGATTACCAGATTTCAAACTTAACTCTTCCATAATTGTTAATCACCATTCTCATACCATAGACAAGCTGTTTTCGAATCTGAATCTCATTAAGTTCATTGTCGCCAGAAATGTAAAATCATAAAGAGAAAAAAAAGGCGACAAATGTGTTTAAGCAAAACAAATGAGAAATTAGAATTTACATGTTCACTAGAACAATGAAAAACAAAAACAAGGTCACTTGGTGTTGCTAGAAGTGGCAGACAAACAAGGGGCAATGTTTTAATATTGCATCTGTTATGACAGTTTTCAATTAAACTTTTGAAGCTATCTGCCCAAAGTGGAAAAGCATGTTGATGTCTTCAGAGCATGACCTGCGATAATTGCAATATTCCACACCTGGGATTCACCTCAACTCTGTCCGAGACCAGTTTTCGTATCGGTTTGGTGAACATTATCTGAAAATTGCTGTGTTTGGCCATTCCAATATGGAAACTGACAGATCAGTGTAACCTGAGGTTGTAACGGATGTTCCATTTCACCGATAGTTGCCACCATGGTGATAACACAATTGATATCACGAAATCTCTGACTAGACTGTATCATATTGCATACACTGTTTGGTTTTAACAAAGAAATGTGGTCCAATGTTGGCCTTCACATCTGTCACAGTTCCGATGACGAGGTGCTCATGTCATATTGTCTCAGGTTACTGTGTCATCATTCATGGTTATAGAGCCTACAGGAAAATACTGGCGCCAATGTAACAAGACTAATTTCGATGAAATCTTCCTCCATGAATAAATCTGGAGGGAATTTCTCAGACCAGATGGGGAAAATAGCTTGGAATTCTTTTGATGCCAAAGCTTGTTTCAGTTAGATTTTTCATTAAAATTTTGACAGGTGCACAATAACATGGTAGCTGGTTTTATGTAACTGGAGACTGCAGGCTATGATGATATGGGTCCCTGGACCGAGTTCACCGAGGACTTCAGAATGGTACCCCATATATATCACCTCATGAGGATCTTCAGTGTACCAGGCTTGTCTTCTCTGGGACTACAGTATCATGTGCTTATCTCATATGGGTTTTCCAGTATCTTTTGCTGGTTCTTTGGGTTTCCCCATATCCCATGTTTGTCTCTGATCAGTCAAAGATGCCTGCCACACGTTATCATATCCCAAATGCATAGATCAATGTTCATTATGTTGATCACTGGATTATCTGGTCTGGACAAAACTCAAGTTTCCTGTTTGTGATCTCTGGGTCAGCAGTATCTTATTGATTTCTTCTGGGTCTTTAGTATCCTGTGTCTCTAGTATCTTGTGCTTGTAACCAGTGGGTCTCTAGTATGTAATGCTTGTAACCAGTGGGTCTCTAGTATCTTGTGCTTGTAACCAGTGGGTATCTAGTATGTAATGCTTGCAACCAGTGGGTCTCTAGTATCCTGTGTCTCTAGTATCTTGTGCTTGTAACCAGTGGGTCTCTAGTATGTAATGCTTGCAACCAGTGGGTCTCTAGTATCCTGTGTCTCTAGTATCTTGTGCTTGCAACCAGTGGGTCTCTAGTATCCTGTGTCTCTAGTATCTTGTGCTTGTAACCAGTGGGTCCCTAGTATCCTGTGTCTCTAGTATCTTGTGCTTGTAACCAGTGGGTATCTAGTATGTAATGCTTGCAACCAGTGGGTCTCTAGTATCCTGTGTCTCTAGTATCTTGTGCTTGTAACCAGTGGGTATCTAGTATGTAATGCTTGCAACCAGTGGGTCTCTAGTATCCTGTGTCTCTAGTATCTTGTGCTTGTAACCAGTGGGTATCTAGTATGTAATGCTTGCAACCAGTGGGTCTCTAGTATCCTGTGTCTCTAGTATCTTGTGCTTGTAACCAGTGGGTATCTAGTATGTAATGCTTGCAACCAGTGGGTCTCTAGTATCCTGTGTCTCTAGTATCTTGTGCTTGTAACCAGTGGGTATCTAGTATGTAATGCTTGCAACCAGTGGGTCTCTAGTATCCTGTGTCTCTAGTATCTTGTGCTTGTAACCAGTGGGTATCTAGTATGTAATGCTTGCAACCAGTGGGTCTCTAGTATCCTGTGTCTCTAGTATCTTGTGCTTGTAACCAGTGGGTCTCTAGTAAGTAATGCTTGTAACCAGTGGGTCTCTAGTATCCCATGCTGGTTTCCTGTGAGTCTCCAGGGCATGGCAAAAGGGACATATTCTATGTGGATTGAGTTGATCTCACAGATGTACTCATTGCTTTCCCTCCATGAACCACTGCTTTGGGTTCAGCTCCAGGGGTGTTATACGACATAATGTTATACAACTGTTGAGAGTATTGTGGTAGATATTCACTTCATTGCCAGCATGCTGAGCAATTGTTTAGTGTTCATTTAAATGTGTCATTATGTACTTTAATAAATGTATTTGTTTTTGTTGTTGTGGAAGGACTCAGCAGACGGTACTTTTAATTATAGCCCCCAAAATATTCATGATTCATGAACTGTTTTTGTTCTGTATATATTTATGACATTCCTTCATCCCCAAATATGTTCATTTGGTTTATTTCAAAACACACAAATCATTTCAGAACTGTGAACATGGTTTGAGAATGAAGGTATTTTCAAAAAAGCAGAAGAGCAAGTTTTGAGGCTAATTGCCAAGATTTAAGAGAAGAGAATTGGGTGCAGTTGAGAGTTCTGTTTCCTTCAACAACTTTCTGCCTGACTTGAACTCGCATTCCATATCTTCCTCTTGCCAGAAGAGGTGTTTTTTACCAATCTTTCTTGCATTGTTAGTCTGTAAGACTTCCACTTTGTACACAAGCCAGCAGCATTTCAAGTGTCAAAGCATCCCCTGCTTTCTGTCTTCCGTGTAAACTAAGGAAGCTTTTTAGGAGGGGCCCTGTTAATCCCGGCGATATATTATACGTTTCTTACTGTTACCTGGCAACTTTTTCAAAATATGCAGACATCAGGTAAAGGAGGCCAAATACGCTTGTTCTGAAACAACTGTTCTCAAAACAGTTCTTGGTGTTTGTGTTGTCAGGATTACATACAGACTCGCTTGCAGGCACACATGCGGAACACTTGCAACAGTTAGCAGTTGCACACGCTGCTCAGCAAGCGCTGTTTGTAGTTGTCAATATCACTTACTGTTTACATTTCATTTGTGTCATTTCCCAGCAGGAATAATTTTTCTGCTCCTCTCGTTTTATGCAAAAGTCACATTTTATACCTTCAGTTGAAAAAGGGGACATAGTGATTAGCATGTTCTTCCATGCATCTGTCTGTGGTCCGTGTTCCATCGCAGGGGTAGAACTAAAGTGTTGAATAGTTCTTTAAAACTTACTACACAGACCAGGCTAGTGGTGAAGTGGTGCATTTAGATTTTAAAAAATAGTTTTGTTCGAAACCCATTGTTTATTTCTTAATTCTTAGTTGTCAAAATTATAAGACAATACTTCCTTATGTAAATAGGGGTTCCATTACAGAATTGATTGAAAATTAAACATGATAAATGTATATTCATAAATCTGGCATTCAATAAATCAAACTTTTTGTATTGGGAATAGACTAACACTTAGTCTCTGAATATATATAATTTTGATTGAAACAAATAATTCTGTTTAAATGGAAAAGGAGCCCTAGTGAGATTCAGACCAGAGACTGATGAAATCTAGACTTGCTTCATTTAGGGCTTTAGAAGAAAGGGCTGAGGTGGAAGGGAAAGTGGTTGAGGGACTGTGAGACAGACTATGTTGGGAACTACCTTTACCAACCTGTCCTGCCCCAGCTATGTCCAAGACCAGACTACACAGAGAACTGAACCTGGAAGAATAGGTGCTGCTGAACCCACAACACCACCCAGCATGCAAGCTCATCATGCTATTCTTTTAACTGTAGTAACCTGACATGTCACACTCATGAAAATGAAAAAGAAAAATCTAATCAAATTGCAAAGTTTCTACCTCATCACGATCTATAAAACAATGCAAGAATGTTGAATAACATGTTAGGGCATTTTTCCTATTCAAAAATCCATAGGTTAAGGATAAGGGCCCTTTGGCTAGCAATTTACGTTGTATTCTTAACAAGTAACCATGATTATTCCTTCAGTGGTTTTAGACTTGTTCTTATGACAGGTTCTCGTCATAGTCCCCTGCCACGCAATTAAGAAACGTTTCCCAAACCGTTCTCATTACTTCAAAGCTATGGATGAAGTCCGCAAGCTATTGTGTTATTCCAGTCTCCTTGGAGTTTTGTTAAATCTCTTACAACGTGCAATCTAATATCTGTCAGTGTAATTACCCCAAAAACCCACATCCTCTACACAGGATGAAAGTGGGATTGTCCTTCTGTTGGCTGCAGCTTGGTTTCTGTCAAAATTTAAACATATTATCTCAATGTACATAGTATCACCTTTGTGAAAAGAAAACTTGAAAGATGCTATCTGGGTTTTGATCTGTGAAAATTGATTTTGATCGTAATAGAAAAAGTCTGATACTTCAGACCTTAAACTGAATTTGGATGGAAAATTAAATCAGATTATGTTTGGCCCAATTGGATAGGTGAAACATGGCTTATCTTTGAACTTGTCTGTTTTCCTTACGGATGAAGTTGGTGTAATTCAAGTGATGTTGGGTTTTTATCCGTGCCTGAAACATACTGGTGCAAGGTTGGTTGTGTTTGCCGTTATCTGTGAAATCAGTGGACCGCCCAAGTCGGTGTTAGAGATTACATGTGTTTATAAATTTGTGCCGTAGGGCAGCTTGCTAACTATCACATATTTTCACACGAACTGAGTGTTCCTAGATCTTGTTTCAGTGTTACCGGGTTCATCTTCTTCATGTTGTGTGTTGTTCTTCACTGAGTTCACCTTGTCCTCAGATCATAGGGTGGTATAACGCAATAGGATAACAACCGGGGTTTACAGAGTGTTATAACACAGTTGTCATGGAAATTGTTTGTTGACCTTCATTGATTGTCAAATTCACTGGTTAATGGTGTCAACATGATTTATGTTGATTTTGGATATATAAAATTTCTGTGATGTTGGTTTTGAATTTTAAAATAGAATTATTATTCAGGAGTATTGTATTGATTGTAGTAATATGATCATGTGACAAATACAGAATTCAGTTTTGTCATGAAAGTCAATGCAAGGGAGATAATCCACTTTTTCTCTTCAGTGTGTGCATTGTCAGTTATCAGCTGGGCCTCTATGAGGGTTCTATCCCAGCAGTTTGATATAGTTTTTATTATTTATGATTGGATATTGGTTTTGATTGTTAGGAGTTTGGTTAATGTCATGGTGTCATAAGAATATTCTTTGTAATTTTCAGTTCTCCTTTGCATTTGTTGTTTATATTTGACAGGAATGTTATTTTGAGAATATTGTTTTGTTTCAGCCAAGTGTCGGTCATCCGGGGACGAGTGACAACCAAAGATGGAACACCTCTGATCGGCGTTAAGGTTGAAATTGTTGCGCAGCCTCTTTATGGGTTCACCCTCACAAGAAAGGAAGGAGTGTAAGTTTGTTTGTTTATCTCTGTACTCAGCATCATCCCTGCCATAAGATGGCATCTTGTAAATAAACAAGTCTGCACCTGACAATTCCCTGGTTGATGTGTGTAACGATCTACACAGTTGGGTTTCAATGTGGTTCTGTCAACCAAATGACTGAGCCCGATCATCCAGCCCATTTTGCCATTTTTATGATCCCATTTTGTTGGCTGTGAACTTTCCTTCACAGAAATCTGCTCTGGGTTGGAGTGTGTAATTTGTGCTGATTCAATTCGTTCACCTCATGGTGTTATACAAGGTTGTCATACAAGGGGTATTGAATTCTTTGCAGGTTTGACATCCTTGTTAATGGCGGTGGTTCTGTGGAACTTGAGTTCATTAGACAGCCATTTGTGACCAAGTCTGCAAGTGTTTTGACTCCATGGAACCAGATCATCACCATGGATACCGTTATCATGACGCTCACCAAAGAGGAGCCCGACCATCTGTTCCCCGAGGACTGCAGCACAGAGCACCAGCACTACCTCCTGAAGCCTGTGGTTCTGTCCACCTGGCAACACACACAGCTAGGAGCCTGCCCAGAGAAGAGCACCATCATTCCAGAATCACAGGTGGGTGAAGGCAGGATAACCACTGCTTCAATCACTTTTAATCATTAACTTTGGACTGTTGATGTCCAACATCTGACAGACACACTCTTCCACAAACAGTCTCTGCTGTCCAACATCTGATCGATGTGCTTTTCACAGTCTCTCCTGTCCAACATCTGATTGATATGCTCTTCACAAACAGTCTCTCCTACCCAACAGATGACTGACTCACCTTACATTCAAGGCCCTCCTTTACACCAATTGTCTTACTTACATTGCAGGTCCTTCAAGAGAGCCTTGATCTCCCTGGAACCAAAGTGCACCTGGTGTACCACAGCAGCGAGTCCTTGGGCTACATGTCTCTCATCCTGATCCAGATGACCCCCACCACCATCCCAGAAAACCTCTCTCTCGTCCACCTCAGGGTGTCCGTTGAAGGTGTGGTCCTGGAGAAAACCTTCGAGGCTGATCCCCTTCTCAAGTACACCTTCTCTTGGAACAGACGGAACGCATTCAACCAGAAGGTCTATGGGATAGTGACGGCTAGAGGTGAGTGTTGTGTTCCATAGATTGGGTCGTTGCTTGGCCGTTAGTATGTTTGGACCAGACTAGACTATATATAGGCTGGTAATGTAACTGGTATACTCCACTTAGTGTAGCCTCTGTCACTCACCTATTGTCTTTGTATTTCAGTGTATGTTGGTTATCAGTATCAGGAATGTGAGTACATCTTCTGGGAGACTAGGAGCACCACGGTCAATGGGTTTGACCTGACCTCCTCCGAAATCGGTGGCTGGAACCTTGACATCCACCACACTTACAATTTCCAAGAGGGCATCCTCCACAAGGGTGATGGCACAAACATCTACCTCAAGGAGAAACCCAAACGCATCATCAACATCCTCGGTAATGGCAACCGCCGCAACCTGTATTGTGACGCCTGTAATGGCAAGGCTCAAGAGAATCGACTCCTGGCACCAGTGGCACTGGCAAGTGGGCTGGATGGTAGTCTGTATGTGGGAGATTACAACTTCATTAGGAAGCTGTCACCAGACCGGGAGGAGATTGCCAGCATACTGGAGATGAGGTAGGTTTGGATTGGAGGCCACAGGTCTTGGTTTCATTGCAGATAACTGTACATTCCCGCTCATTTACTTTGGTGCTGAAATATATTTTGCCTTGGAATAACCTCATTTTGTCAGGTTAAAGGAAGACAATGGTTTTTATCAAACTGCATGATATATTTATTTCCCTGATTCTGTTAGTGTATGATTCATGTCTTCCTCAACCATGGTGTCTGAATCTGCCTCCAGCACACAGTCGGTGCCCTACAAGTTCTACATGACCGTGAGTCCTGTGGATGGACGTCTGTACATATCGGACTTCATGAGCCATAAGGTGATCCGAGTGAAGACCATGGGTCCAGTGCGTGACCTCAAGGACAACCTGGAAGCAGTGGCCGGCAATGGGGAGGAGTGCACCCCTGGCGAGGCCGATCTGTGCGGCGACGGTCAGATGGCCATACAGGCCCGTCTCAGACATCCTAAAGGTAAAACTTCAGCTTTAGTTATCTTTCAGTCATAATCATGTGATTGGTTATCAATTAGAACAAATAATAAGGCTCATTGTCTTGATGAATGGTGTGTCATCCTGTCCCCAGGTGTATATCACAAGACAAATCTCTGGATTGGCTTTTCACCATTATATAGTTGGAATATTGCTGACTTGGTATTGAAATTACACAAGCAACAAAATTTGCATCATATTGATAGTCATGAAGTTTGTTTATTTTTGTTATGACTCAGTTGTAGCATAGTCAGGGATAAAATATCAATTTTATTCAGCTTAATGAGTATTTTTTCCTTTCCTGACTCATGAGGTTAGCATTGTGAGTCAGGTATAGCCAATTTTATCATTACATTTTTTATATAGTTGTAGCATATGGAAGTTTGTGCTTACTGAGTAATTTCCTGTTGTAGATGCCATCAACCCAGATGGCCCCAATATTCGGAAGATAACGGCTGATGGCTACATCACCACCTTGATTGGCACCCAGGAGCAACTGAGAGAGTGGACACCCATGCCTTGTGATGACATTCTGTCTGCAGAGAGGGTATATCTATACAGAGCAATTTATAATGTCTATACTTTCATACTGTTTGAATTGTTTTTATACTTAGGAATTAAAGACCAATCTCGTTTATTAATTTCTTTTCAAATTTACATTTTTTGGTATCTGGATTCATCACCAATCATAAATGTTGTCTAATCGTGCTGCTTCCCGATGTTTCAGGTTAGCCTGCGATGGCCAACAGCTCTTGCAATTGACCCGCTTGATGACACCCTGCATATTCTTGATCACAGCATTGTCCTGAAACTGACCAAGGACTACAAACTGGTCACAGTGGCTGGACGTCCAGCCTACTGCCCTCCTCGGCAAACAAACTTCTTTCCGGCTGGTGTCTTGTCCGACGATGAACAGGCAACAAGTATAGCTGATCACGTGACTCTCGTGTCACCAGAGTCAATCACCTTTTCACCTCATGGCGACCTCTACATTGTCGAGAGTGACACACATCATATCAACCGGGTGCGTGTAGTGACAACTGATGGATTGATACATCACTTTGCTGGGGCGAAATCCAAGTGTGATTGCCAGAAGAAGACCTGTCCATGTTATGTGATGAAAGAACGTCTTGCTGCCCAGGCTTTGTTCAACACGCCCAAATCAATCACCGTGACCCCAGATGGCATCATGCACATTGCTGACATGGGAAACCTCCGAGTCTTCTCCATAGTATCTGAGCTTCCTGAACGAAGTGTGAATCAACAGTATGAAGTTGTCTCCCCGGAAACCCAGGAAATCTTCATATTCAACCGCTATGGACAACACCAGCACACCATCAGCATTATGACAAATCAGTACATGTACAACTTCACTTACAACGTCAACTCATTTTATGGCAAGGTAAAATCTGTAATTGACAGCGCGGGCAACAGTCTGATAATTGTCCGCGGGTATGACACCCATGCTAAAGAAATCATCACCCCGAATAGCGCTAAGTGTGAGCTCTTGATGGACAACGAACGCCACCTCTATCGCTTCACGGCCCCCAACAACATGACGGCCACCTTCACCTACATGATGAGCACAGATCTCTTGGAATCCAAACACACTTCCGACGGCCAGACCTTCAAATACGAGTACGATGATATGGGCCGACTTCTCACCATCAGCCAACCAACAGGGGAGATAACTCGTCTGCACACCGACGTGAACACAACAGGTTCCATTGTTCATGTCACTACAGATAGCAGTGATGTGGTTGCTATGGCAACCTATGGGAGCGTGCAATCTGTCATGCATGGCAAGTGCTTGCATTCCACCTATGATATACACAAATAAACAGCAGTTGCTGGCTACCAATAGGATGACAATGCTCAATCTCATCGTACATATTAATGAACAATTTCAGAAAGCAAGACGTCCGTAAAAGGGACATTGTTTACAAAGTCAACATTTTCTCATGGCATAATTCTTATGGTGTTTTTTTGTGTGTGTGTGTCAAATTTCAAATAATCATGTTATAGGGGGTGTCATATTTTCACATTTTGAATAATCCTTGTAATTAGATGTCGAATAACATGTTGGAAACACATGTTCCAGCTATTTGAAACTGTAAGCATAAAAGTACATACCCATATTAAATTGATTTCAGGTAAAAAAAAGACTAAGTGATTTTAAGAGTTTTGAAAAAGAGATAAATCTACAAGATCCTAGATTGAGCACTGTCCAACCTTCCCCACAACTAATTATACAGTCATCAATATCACGCGTAAATGATTTGAACCTGTCTGAACTATTTCCAAGATTCATGTGAGAAAAGCTACATGACATGTTTGAGAATGACAATATATAAATCCAATCTCATTATTCTAGGAAATGAAGATGGCAATCACTCCAGGTTGTGGGGTAAAGGTTTAGATTAGCAAAATATGATTTTGCTGTAAACTTTTTGTTTTATTTTGAATAGAAAATGTTTGATTTCTATTAAAACTTGTATAATCAGTAGACAACACAGAAACCTATTTTGACCATTTTGATGTTTTCTCAAATTTTAAAATTATGTCTGTTTTTCTTATTCTAACTACTTATGGTGTGCATGCCTTCTGAATATCACCCACCAAAGCTTACAAGTTGTAACAATCTTTGAACTCTGAATGACAATATACTCTGCATCTTCCTAGTCAGTGTTGCACCATCACTCTGTATCGCGACTTGAAACTCTTGTTTCACAAAGCTCAGATTCAATATTCAATTAGTTGGTGGGATTTGTATTGTATCAATAATAATAGCAGACATTTGATGATTATTATCATTTCATCAACATTTTTAATCTGCTAATGTTGTCACGTCCTTTCATGCATCCCTGTTTGATGTTTAAATCTGTTATATATAGGTACACAACTTGCATTATAGTTGTTAAATACTTATGTTTTGTATCGGTTATATGTATGGGTATATAACTTGTTCTGTTATCAGGCTTTAATCAAGCTGCATCTCAACTTTTTCTGCATGCTTTCTATCTTAAATATTGAGTGTCTGTTTCAATTTTATCCATGAAAATTTGGTTTCTCTTTAGTGAGAGGTACTCACTCACAAGTAGTTACTGTGTATACTGATAGCAGTAAAGATGCACATTTAGAAATTCAAATGAGCTTTGTGGAATATAAGTTGAATGATACTATGCAGCATGAAGCACGATTGGTTCTCATGCATCAATCTGTTGTCCTCCATTTCTGCTCATTTAGAGCCTCGTAGTCATAGAGCATTTTTGCCATATATTCTCCGCAAATTTCACTGCATGCCCTGAACTGGTCACTTTCTACACATTCCACAGGTTCTTTAGTTTCATTCTTAAAGACAAGCTAAGACATTTCTATTTAGTTTGATTTTTTGTAAATATTCACTCATGCCAAAAACCTTCACTGAATAACTTGTATGTTTCTAAGCATGAGCAAAGCCTTCTACTGCCTGTTGCGTTTAGTTGATAAGAGATGATTTATTTTTGAGTTACCTCCTCTTGTATCACTGTTCCACCACTAGGGCGTGAATGTATCTCCCTCTACAGAAGCGTTAGCACTGCCTTAAGTCAGATAGCGCGACATAGTTATGGCCGAAATCTACGTGGCTTCTCTCACGCCCTCTCTCGTCAAGTCTATGTTGTGCATTTGTTTTCTTTTCGCTAAAAACTACAACAGGCTGCTGTTGATCTCTCCTCTTGAAAACCTAATTGTGTCTGAAGATTGTCAAAAACTCACATTGTAGAACACTATTGGTTTGAAGGATGTCTTCACACTATGTTCAGTTTTAGTGAAACCAATTTTGGATTTTTCAGGATCGACCCAGACGAAAGTGACGTACCTGCCTGGAGGAGCTGTTGTGGTGCTGTTCCCTAGCAACTTGACTGTTGCTATAGAAACTGGAGGGCATCCAATCATGGAGAATGAGCATCGCATGCATTACAAACGGAAGGTGATCATACCAGGGGCGTACATTCACCGGCTGGAATGGCGCTTCTATTTACGCCGCAAGGGTAGGAGTCGGCAGAGTCGAATCATCGAAAAGATTGGTCAACGATTGAGGGTAGGATCCCCGTTTTCACGGCATGCGCACATGCATGATTGGCATGAGGATGGAATCAAGGAAAAAGCTCTCTTGGTATGTTTTTACATCTCGTGCGTAATCATTAACACACAGAATCAACAGTGATAACCTTTCACCTCTATACCATTTCTCGACATTTTGTTTTATGTTTTGTAACATAATTTTTCTACTTAAATTGTTAATTTATTATGATTATTATAATGGGTATTAGAGAAATGGCATTCCCCTTGACAGTTTCTATATATGATTTTTTTCAAATTTAATTTTATTATTTTTGACAGTTTATTAAGTTCATATTAATGGCAAGAGTTCAGCAAAGGCCAAGTGTTTTCAACTGCATTTTGCCATTTTGTTTATAGATTTATTATGTGGCATTTTTGGTATTATCACTGTTGGTACTGAGTGTTCTATTTTCTGGTGCACAAGCAAATTGCTGTGTATGGCAACTGTGCCATCAGGCTTGAACACCAGAAAATTGAGTCCTTTGCTGCAGGTTGCACTCTTTCCCCCCCTATCTGTCAATGGTAGCTTCCACACAATGGAACAGTCCATAGCTGTATATGGTTGTGAAAGAGTTGTACAGTAATAAAAATGAAAAATCTGTCGATAGCATAGCCTTGACTAACTCTCCTTGCCTTAAGCCTTTTATTGTCAATATCCAAAATTCTTATTCCTGTAACTCAGTGAACCAACTATCTCCGAAAGGGGATTGGTCTGTGCATTGGCAAGGACATCAAATGTATACGTGGCTATGTTACAGACAGATTACAGGGTGATATATCTGATATCGTCTGATTCAGTCTATTGTGCTTTGGTTGACAACGTCAGTCTGTGTTGAGATTTCTGATTGGATGTTTAGTGTTGTTTTCCCGCGCATATTGTCTCCGTGACACAGGCTTCATGTATGTTGCCATGGTAACTGTAGTATTGTAGTTCCAAATCGCAACCCTGTTTCTAACAGTTTTTTGGAACCTCATATGCTTGAGATGTTGATTTTAAACAGAACTTGGCGATATTGTGCCTGTTTTCCTCAGGGACTTATAGACAGCTGTGTGAGAGCTATGTCTGTTGAAACCCTCACTGTGGAAAATCTCAACCTGCAAGTTGTTTTTGTTAAGTTTTGTGAAGTATGTGGGCTTTGTAACTGTTGGTGTTAAAACATGTTTGACTTCACCGTGTGAAAACTTGCAGCCATTGGTTCCGAGGATGGACGTATTTGTAAGTGGAACATTCGTACATATTAATATAATCATGCTTCACTCATTATCATGAATGGTTTTTGTTGACCTTGAAACAAACACAGACTGACCTTGGTGGAAGCAAAAGCAGAATGGCTGGTCAGGGGAGATAATTTGAAGATTTACCTGCATCAACGGAGACTTTTATGTTAGCTCCAACTAATGAAATCTCCGTACAAATGTCTACCCCCTTTCCACAAGCATGAGGTAGTACAAAACAGCATATAGTTGAAACCTGTATTGTTAGACTCTCTGAAAGTTAAAAATGTTGGGTCTCATGTTAAAGATTTGATTCTCGTTTGTTCTAAGTTGTGTATGCATGCTAATTATTAAAATGACTTCATATTACAAGTTTCAAATTTTGTTTGATGTGTAAAGTTCTGTTTGCTTTCACATAGTTGAATTTGTTTTCATGAAACAGGTACTTCAGTTATCATTCTAACAGTTTTATTGCTATAATTTTTCTCATATTTTTAATAGATATTTAATATTCTATATAATTTTGAGGAATGAAAATGAATCTTCTTTTCACATGCTGGTTATGTCTTTATTTTGTATGTTTTATTTTTGAAGACATGAGACCTAAACAAATCCAGATATATGCATTAGGACACTGTAAAAAGTTGCATAGTTAGGCAGTCCTCCCGTTAGAAGAGGCATGGTATATTCTGTAACCAACTCTCTCCACTGCCTCCATTTATATTCTGGCTATGCTCCAGTGTAAGAAAAGCATGATGTCACTTTATGGAATCAATTCTGAGAAACAAATAATCCCAACAGCACTCATATATGGAACTAACATTCCTGGACTATTTTCAAGAAAGAAGTCGTGTGTAAACTTTACATTGTCTCCTAACAAATAGATATCTGTAGATGTGTGTATCGTTAACAACCAGCTTTACTGTCCACGACATGTTGAGTGCAGATCAGTTGTTGTCTATTAACCCCACACTGTCAGTTGTCACTTGCCAAATTTGGACTGCACCGTAATACAGAGCCGAATGTCATCTCTGGTATTGTTTGTGAAACGCTTCAAATAATGGTCAGTGATAATCGCCCCTCAATGCTAGAATAAAAAGAGGTTAAAGACACCCAATATATTCATATGAATCAGCTGGGTGGTCTTTAACTTTAGTTGTGCGATATAGGTTTGTGGCAGGTACAAGTACTAACAATATGAAGGCCTTGTTCCCAAGTATGGAGACATATGTACATATCAAGCCAAAAATATTTTTAATGTTAAATATTCAAACATTCTTGAATAAAAATGTAAGTCCAAATGATTTAAATTCACTCATCAAGAGCACAAAAAGGCTGATGTTGGCTAAAGAGCACATACGTTAAAGTATATTGCCATGGTTACATGATATATTTGGAGTTAAGGAGATAGCAAGAACATAGGGCTGATCGTTTTGTTTCAGATCAATGGGGAGAATCTGTTGACAATGGAGTATGACAGAAAAACCCACATGGAGACAATCATGGACAAGACTCTGCGCGAGATTCTCACGATCGTTTACGACAGTTCTGGCCTGCCATCTCACTTCCTGCCTGCAACGGGTCACCACGCCATGAACATCACGTACAGCCCCCGCGGCGACATCACCCAGTGGCAGTACGGGGAACTGCGAGAAACTCGCCAGTATGACAAGGGGGTGCTGACTGAGAGGACGTCCACAAACGGGGCACAGTTCCGGTACTTCTACAGATATGGATCAAAGAAGGTTGGTAGGAATTAGGGTGGGATCATTCAGCAACAAGGAAATATGTTGTCAGTGTTATACACATGATACCTCTTGAAAAAATGTGTTGTGTTGACTATGAATTAGTTTCACATGTGTGTTTTGGGGTTTTTTTATTCTTAAGGTGTTGGGCTCTCTGAAACACCATGATGTATTACTGTTGAGAAAAATGATGATGCAAATATCATCAATACCTTAACACTCCGGGGCGGTGGGGTAGTCTAGTGGTTAAAGCGTTTGCTCGTCACGTCGAAGACCCGGGTTTGAATCCCCACATGGGTACAATGAGTGAAACCCATTTCTGGTGTCCCCCTCCGTGATATTGCTGGAATATTGCTAAATACGGCATAAATCCAAACTCAGTCAGTCAGTCAGTCAGTCAGACCTTAACACTCCAAAATACTGGCATATATGTTTGCCTGTTTACTTGTATTTTTGTCCTGTGATATCTGATAAAGAAAAGCTTCCACTGACACTCTTACCTGAAATAGCTTCTTCTTGTTTACCTTTAACGTCTGAACTTTCTATTCCAACTCATCCAGCCCACTGACATAATCCTCCCAAGTGGCAAGCAGTACCTATTTGAACATGACACAGAGGGACACTTGGCTGCAGTGACTACTCCTGTCCTGGGCAAGCACCTGTTCCACAGAGTTCTCTCCCTTGGTATTCAACGCTACCTGTACCAGCCACCAGGGATGGACCTGCCCTTCATCATGGACTACGACACCAATGGTAAACTAAAACATGTGCGTCATCCTGGCGAGCAGAGGTGCGTGTACTACCGATATAACAACCACTTCCAGAGATCAGAGATTCTGTTTGACAAGACCAGTATTAAGTTTGGGTATAACCCAGACGTGCAGAGGCTTGCCAGTACCTCACTCAAGATGTCCGGGTACGGCTACGTCGCCAACTACACCTACATCAGCTCCCTGGTGAAGACCATGACCGTGAGCTTCCCCTACGACCGAGATCTACTTGGAGTAAATTTTACTCACGATTATGACAACAACTTTAGGCTAATTGCAACAGTAGCCGTCTTCACCAACAACGTCACTTTGATCAGCAACAACACCTACAGTGACATCAATGGCAAACTGTCAAAGGTCAAGACCATTGACATCAAGTGGGCTGCCCAAGACAAGGAGGTACTGAATATCGGCAGTATCAACATCATTCGAGAGTATGATAGTTATGGCAGAATGAGAGACATTCAATTCAAATTTGCAGAAAATGTTCGCTTCACCTTGCAAATCAATTATGACCAGCTGAACAGAATTCATCAGTGGCGACGTAGGATTGGTCAGACAGACCAAAAGGCAATTGAGTACATATACGACATTGACAACAACATGAAGGATGTGTTACTGGAAGGACAATCGGCCTGGCAATATGGCTATGATGCCAATGGCAACATCTTCAAGATCACAGAACACAAGAAGATAAAGGACTTGGAGTTTGATGTCGGGGACAGAATTGAAAAGTTCGGAGAGATGTGGTACAAGTTTGACCAAGATGGGTTCATGGCTCAAAGAGGCAAAGAACATCTCCTGTTTGACTCACTGGGTAATCTCATCTCTGTCTCCAAGAGGGACAAGTACAGGTTCTCCTACTACTATGACTCTGAAGGAAGACTGTCAGTCCAGAAAGACATGTATGGAAGGATGGTGCAGTTCTTTTATTCCAACGTGGGTGACCCCAAGCAGGTCACCCATACCTACAACCATACTTCGGCCGAAGTCACTCTCTACCTGTATGACAGCGACCAGAGGTTGTTAGCCATGGAACGCAACAACAAAGTGTACTACATTGCCTCAGATCCCAATGGCAGTCCGCTGGTGGTGTTTGACGACCAAGGCTACACCATCAAGCAGTGCAGCTACACACCCCTTGGGCTGGTGGAACAGGACACTAACCCCAACTTTGAACTAGTGTTTGGCTTTCAAGGCGCCATCTATAACCCTGTCACACTGCTGGCCCACTTCCCAAAGAGAGTCTACGACACGCAGATCGGGCGCTGGCTGTCTCCGGACTATGCAGGCATGTTCGATAAACTTGAAGATGTCATCTCGCTGCCAGAGATCCTCAACTTGTACCAGTTCCGTAATTTCATCAACCTCCACATGGCCAAGGAGAAGTTGCCCCGCACAGGTGAGTTAAATGTTGTCTGTAGTGGGTAAATGGTGGAACGTATGTACCACATATACAGAAGGATCCACAGTAGGACTTGGTGAGAAATAGATCCACAGTAAGACTCGTATTCATGGTAGGACTTGGATCAATGTTAACTTGGAGAAGTGGTAAGACTTGCATCCATAGTGTGATTCAGATTAAGTGTAAGACTTGGGTTCATGGAAAGATGGGGTGGTGGGGTAGCCTAGTGGTTAAAGTGTTCGCTCGTCACGCTGAAGACCAAAATTCGATTCCCCACATGGGCAAAATTTTGTGGAGCCCATTTCTGGTGTCCCCTGCCAGCTGCATGTCATCTGATGACCTGTAGAACAGGATGATCTCACTATGCAGGCAACATGCAATAACAGCTCACTCACTAACTTTCTTATGTTCACAGACCTCACCAGCTGGCTGTCGGTGTTGGGCTACGACATCAAGAGCATGGCTCCCGATGTGTCCTACACTGGAATACTCCATCCAGAGCCCTCCACCACAGACTACCAACTTCTCCCAAGTTCCTCGGCATTTGAATGCACCTTTGACCGTGATATGCTGAACCTCCTTACCATCTCAACCGTTCCCAAATCCAAGATCACACCCCTCCAGAATCTGCCCAGTGAGAAACCAGCGCCTCTACTTGCCATATTTGGTGAGGGAGTAACCATCTCCATCGTTGGTGGCAAGGCTGTTATCAATGTGGCAGACATTGCTTCTGAATGGGCGCGGAAGCTTGCGACAGTGCTCCTGAACAAATCACAGATGGTAAACCTTCACTACACAATTCATTCAAAGGATGTTCATTACTTCATCAAGTCCAGTTACACCCAGGCGGAGGATGATCTTCGGACGCTGGGCATCACCACTGATCTCGTCACTCTTGATAATGGCATCAATATTTCTGTGCATAAGAATCAGAGAAGTCATGGCTTCGGACGAGGTCGAGATGAGATAGATGTTCGTATCCATGGCAATCACACTGTGATAAATATCCGCTACGGCACCAACATTGATCATGAGATGAACCGAATCTTGCACCATGCAAAGGAACGTGCTGTGGCTTCAGCCTGGCACACAGAGAAGTATTTGATACAGAACAGTCTACCCACTAGGTTTGAATGGGAGGATGAAGATGCCAAAGAGCTTCAAGCCAATGGCCATGTTAATGGATGGGAAGGAGAGTACATACGCTCTCCCCTGGACTATCCAGAGCTGTCAGATGACGCAAACAATATAAGATTTATCAAACAAGCCAGGTAGGACTGGAAAATTAGGTTTTAGTTGTGTTTAATTTCTGAAAAATGGCTGTTAGACCAAGTGAACAAAATGGCTGACAATGCTTCAGCAGGTCAAGGTCAAGCTATAAGGGGCAGAGAATGGCATCAGTGACAGTGGTGCTTCCTTTCAGGGAGGATGAAAGGTGTTTTAATTGGGTGGCTGCCACCCCCAACCCCATGCATACAGTGTGCTATGTTCTCTTATACTGTGGTTGGTGATTCAGATGACAAGTGAAACATTATGGGTGCTTTGTTTGTTTTGCCCAGTGCTTGTCTTTCTACCAACCCCCATTGGAAAGGGGGACATGAAGTGTGCTGTCCTTCCCCCCCGGACCTCCCCTCTCTCCCCAAAGGGGGGCCAGGACAGCACTGAGTGTTCTGTGATGGTGCTATATTAGGTGTACACACGATTATACTACCACAAATACAGAGTAAAGACAGCTTCTAGTCACAACAAAGCGGCCAGGTCTCGCCAGGCCAACCGTATTCTTGTTTGAAGACATTCATAGATATTTGTACAGATAGCTAAACCATAACTTGCTGTTTTGTTGGACTAAGAGAGTTGAGGTCAATTGTGTCGTGTTGACCTGCACTTGTGTCGCGTTGACCTGCAACTCTGGTCAAGATGACCATGCATTATGAACTTACAAGCACAATCTTATAGTGACTCATGGTGTTCCAATGACAGTTATTACAGACTGTATGCTAGTAGGCAGGGAGCGATGTAAGAAATTCTCGGTGATTCTAAATATTACCAAAATCATTCATAAGGGAAAAAAGTGCATCATTTCAGTGTTTTGTGAGTATCATTATGAGGGCTTTGTGTGTAACAGAGAATTTCTTCCACCTAGAAGCCCGATTGTGTTATACCAGGTGCTACAGAGACTTCACCATTCCTTGGTGTAACACAGACAGCCACAGCTACAAGGTGAAGGACCCTCGGTGTTTTCTAAACGATCACCTGCATCTTCTTGGAAAGTCTGGTCCTGGAAGGCGCTCAATGATATATGTTGTCATGGAGATGTTTTGCCCATATACAGTGTTAAGATTGTTACCAGTGAAGAAGTAATGTACTGCTATAGAGACAAACCAAATATTCAACATCTGCTGGATAGAATGACAACTGCATTCTGATTGTTGAATTTAACATTAGAAGGAATCATGTTTACTTAAATTTATTAAAATACAGATATTTCAGAATGTATTGAAATTTATACCTGAAGTATGTGTCTTGAAATAGTCTTGAAAGTAATTAAAAAAAATAACAAATTTTTAATTCATTTTAATGCTTTACAGTAATATGAGGGTATTTTAGTCTGATCTATCACCAGATGGTCTGTGAAGTGCAAAGATGTTTCACAGGAACAAGTGACGCCAACATGCCGCCAATGTTCGTACATATCCATCATGTCAGTCGGTGTGTAATTTCACTCGCCTATTTCACAGTTGGCTTGTATGATAAGCAGCTTTGTGAAATGTTGTACATTTGTAGACAAACTGGTATTGGCACCAACTGTGATCCAGTGCATGTACCTATCATTTCACTGACAACATTCATCTATGTGTTGGTAGATCAGAAGTATCAGGAACTGTTACCATGGTTACAGGTGTCCGTGAGATACGCCAATTTATCACATACTGTTGCATCTGACTGAATGTGAGATACTATATTTCTGATGCCGTCATTTATGAGATCATAAAATTATGGTCTTATCAGTGTGAAAGATATGACAGTACTTATCATTTAGATATTATAATTAGCATTGAAGAAATAAATTTACAAATGACTACCATGAAACATACTTGTTTGGGCTGGATGTTTTACATTTTTTATAACTTTACCTATCTTTCAAGCTTAAAAGACTCAGCTTAGGTTTCCATCATGCAAATTGCTTGTGCACTAATTGATGGAAACTAAATACAAAAAAAGATTAGGAAATAGTCTTACAGAATATAGTATGTTCAACCATGAAATCTGGTCTACCAACACTGAGGTTAACTTCATTATAAACTTGATATGCAATAACTAACTGCCGTTATAGTTTTAAAGTGGTCTATGCTGATTACAATCTTAGTTTTTAGTAAGTTTTAATTATAATTTTTTTCAACTGCATACAATTTGGGTTACCTAAATGTGCAATATGGTAATCTGTTGTGCTCACTTAACTCTAAATTCAAATTTTATGATATAAAGATGTTTATTGGTATTAATAGGCATATATTTTCTAAAACGAAGATTTGAGAGTAAAATGTTACTAAAAACAAATAGAAACAAATATATATTTAAAACAAATCCACTAACTTAATTTTTATCGTTGAGTGAGTATCCTACTTTATATGTTATAACAACTGCCAAGGGTTTCCTTTCAACAATTTTTACTGGTAGTGTGAGTTTACTCAAATCAGAAAGCTTCTTAAAAAAATAGAAACTTATTCGGTATTACTTTTCAGCATTTTGTGTGAAATGTTAGTCAGTATTATGCAGATATCATAATCAAAGGACGGATAATGCATTATATGATTGTTTCTATCAAGAGTGGAAGTTTCACAGATGTTGATTGAAATATGTACAATGTTCAAGTTTTAAATGTTTCATCAAGATTATGTTGATCATTTCATTAACTCATGCTCTTAGTTTATACAGTCCAGTTATAAAATAACACATTCATCAATTTCAAGTTTTGTTTCTGTCAGTGTGGCATTTGACATCAAAATATGGCATCCTTCCTTCAATTATGCAATGTCTTAAACCTGTTTGTGTTAATATCTCATTGATTCCTCGCTGCATAAATCTGTGTGTTCCTCTAGCGTATGTAGTGCTCTATGTGCCAAATGTCCATTTTGTTCAAGTCTAGGGTATAATCAGTTTGCATGACACGCCCCTGTTTCTATACCTCATACTTCACTCACTCACTCATCCAATCATCCACTTGAAGTCAGTGTAAGATTATGTAAATCAAAATACTATTTTGAAATCATGGCTATCTCCCTGCATCCATGCTGCTTGAAATTTGTGTTGGGGACTGAGTGAAGCTGATGTCGTTCATGTGTCAAGAAATTCCGCGGTGAGCACAGAGAGATGTCAGCTCATCTCGTCTTATCATGTATGTACAAATGCAATATTTAAGGCGAATGCAACATTATTCTGTTTTGTATTTTAAAGGAAATAAAAATGCATAACTATCGAATCATGAAAAACGAGTTTTTGGTTTTGTTCCAGCTGACAAACAATATGCAAGGAACATTGTGGAATGCTGGGTAGGATGAAACTGCTCTTGTGAAGGCAGAAGATCACATGGTGGTGATTATTTCACCTTTCTTGAGGCTGATGATATTCATTAGTATTACTAATGTGTGCACAAATAGTGAAGACCTTGGGCCAAGACTGCTATCTTTCAGAGAATAGTCATTATATCATTAGGGCGGTGGGATAGTCTAGTGGTTAAAGCGTTCGCTCATCACGCCGAAGGCCTGGGTTCTATTCCCCACATGGGTACATTGTGTGAAGCCCATTTCTGGTGTCCCCTGCCGTGATATTGCTGGAATATTGCTAAAAGCGGCGTAAAACCCAACTCACTCACTCATTATATCATTAGACACATTACCCATTGAAAAGGCCTGCAACATGTATTGGGTGAAGAATAATGAATAAGTTCCTGATCAGGGTCACGATGCACAAAGCATTCGTAACTTTACAACCTATCTTAACTTACCTTATACTTTATGCGCTTACGAATGACACTGATATATGAACGTTTGTTACAAACCTGTATGAACACCCAGCCTAGAATATATCTACACCAACCCATGTCACTGTCAGGGTAGGCTGCTCAGGCTTGAGCATTTGATTGTGCTATTGGAATACAGTGATTTGCATCAGAGAGATGTCATGATGACGATCACTGGATTGTCTGGTCCAGATTTGTCAGCGGTCTTATTGCAGGAACATTGCTGAATACAGCATCAGATGTCACTAATAACAAGGATGTGGTTTACTTTTACACTATTGAATGAATGCAATACTAAAGTACCTCTCAGAATATGAAAATTAACATTTGAAAAATCCCAATTTTGGACTGAAAGACAAATGTTTTTCCATTTTGGCTGCTGATGGTACTGTATCAAGACTTTGTTTAATGCCTTCAAAATTTCAAATGGTAACTATAGTGCGTTTGGCTCAAAAGCGGACCGATGAATTGCAATCTAACTCAAAAACTGATCAATATATAATACTCAATGAAACGCTGATCATAATGAAAACGTCAGACCAACTCTGTGATTTGTTTGGAGAATTTATGTCCTAAAATTAAAAAAGTTGTTTAACAAACTATCATTAAAATATTGACACAGTTCACTATTTGTTACAAGGGAGGAGTGCAGAGAAAGGGACAGCCAGGTGTTAGAGAAGCACGTGCACAAGTGCCGACAAAGTTATTGATTCATTTACCTGTGCTGTGCCGTCTCCATCCTTTCTCGCACACCCGGCTGTCCCTTTCTCTGCACTCCTCCCTCGTAACAAATAGTGAACTGTGTCGATATTTTAATGATACTTTGTTAAACAACTCCTTATTTTTAGGACATAAATTCTGCAAACACCTCTCAGAGTTGGTCTGACGTTTTCATTATGATCAGTGTTTCATTGAGTATTTTATGTTTATAAGTTTTCGAGTTAGATTGCAATTCATCGGTCCGCTTTTGAGCCAAACGGACTATAGCATTCATCTGCACCACAAACACAGCAGTTGCAAATGTTGAAGCATCCATAAAATATGATGTCATAGATCTGCACAGTACAACAACACATTCATATGACCATTTGGCACACAGAAGACATCACAAATAAACATTTCCCATCCTTCACTGGGGCATGGAGCCTCTCTGGAACACATGTCCATATATCATGCACAAAATAAAACATGCCAAACTTGTCTCATTCCAACTGCAGCTACATACTTAAAAAAATGTGTGTCTGAAAGAAAATGGCAGCATTAACCAGTAAACTCTTATGTTAACAAAGCATCCTAAACCAATTATTTGACTTCATGGAAGAAAGAAAAACCCATTTCTATTATTCTCTATGGTTCTTCCTGAGGTAGCAAATGCAAGTTTTTAGTAATTTATAATCTCGTAAACGTTGCCCATGTCATATGCATGGATGATGTGAATTCGGGTGTAACATTCTGTTCCAGATTGTCACACTTATATTTTGCTACTTGCTTTATTGTGAGCTGCTCAGTACTGGTTTCGAAGTGCCTGTCCACTGATCATTAGATGCCTTACAGCACTTGATAAAGACACTCAGATACAGTGCTTTGACAACAACTGACCAGTACTTGTGTTATCTCCAGAGGATGAGTGAGTGAGTTTAGTTTTACGCCGCTTTTAGCAATATTCCAGCAATATCACGGCGGGGGACACCAGAAATGGGCTTCACACTTTGTACCAATGTAGGGAATAGAACCCGGCCTTCGGCGTGAAGAGTGAACCCTTTAACCATTAGGCTACCCCCACCGCCCCTCTCCAGAGTATGAAACGCCATGAGGGGATATGAACAATGTGTATTGCAGATACTACTTTCCATCCCAAAGCACGAGCATGATAAAGTCAGATTCATGTCTGTAAAGAGAGTAACACCACTGGCAGAGCTATTTCACATGAGAGAGAGAGAGAGAGAGAGAAAAGATTTAGAATCAATTAAGTTTCTATTTGTATTTGGTACACTAATAGAGCACAATGAGCCTGTTATTTAGAGGAAGAAGTCCACTCGGTTTATTGTACATTAGAGACAGTATGACATGTGACACAAAATATTAAAGCACTATTAATTTCAAAATTAGACTTGCTTAGCCTATCATTTTCAGTATGTAAGGGTTCTGCAGTTTTGAAAATATGGTTCAGGAACTGTGAAACAGACTCATTCCTTAAAGGTCACATGCAACGTAAAACACAACTTTGCAGATTCTGATACCTTTCGGTATCGACTTACCGAAACAAATCATCAAAAATGCAAATTCAACTTATAAAGTTCAAAAATAACATGAAAAAAACGCGCGAAATCGGAGTTCAAACGATTCACTAATTCACTAAAACTGGTTTCAACAGCTGGGCTGCGCTCATAGCACGTGCGCAGTGAAATAGGTTCACGCAGCTTGGAAGTGGGCTGTCCGGTGAATACTCGGTGAAGGCTTTGGTGTGAGCTATTTTCCTAATGTTTTGTTGATATCTCACAGGCACAAGCTTTTTATATGTTATGACAGTAAATAAACTGTTTATATAATTTCATTTGTCTATTTCACCACACGTTCTTCTTACCGAGTCACTTTCTCAGTTCGATACTTAAAAGCAATGTCATTACATAGCGTTGACAGAATTTCTAACTGTGATATAGATATGTCGTTGTCACAGACAAAACTCAATGTCTTGTTTTATTGACACCTGTGTGTCTGCCTGCCTGTCTGCCTGTCTGCTAATGACAATATTCAATACACAACTGCGATCACTGACCACATACAATTTGAACTTAACACCAATCAGGCTATACACCATAAACAAAACGCATTGATTTATGGCCCGATTTCGGTCTCTGTCACATTATGTAATTACACAGACAGACAGGCACATGACATGTTATGATGTCTGTTGATTGCAAAATGTTATACACAAAAAATGAGCATGTATTTACAAAACCGAACATCTCTATATATACACACACAATGAGCCGTGAGGGCATCTGCAAATGAACCAGCCGTTACACTTGAGTGCACACCCACCAGCTCTGACTGGGTTCGGTATCCCGGCTGCTTCGTTTCTTGGGAAGTAAAACCAAGTACACAATATTGCACTTTTGATTTGCGATTGTACGCTTATAATTTTGTTTATATGTTTTTTCATAACCAGCAATGTATATTATATGTCATGAATAAATGATAATTGTGTTTTAATTATGTTTGATTTTTTGGTTGCATGTGACCTTTAAGACAGAGAGCTGTTTCAGTGTATTTTACACATCTTCCATCAAAAGAAATGTAATTTTTCAATAAACATGAAAATACCAATACAATTTTAATTTCTTCAAGTGTTCCATTTGATCGTAACAACATAACTCAGACAGATTTTGCATTTAATCAGTGATTCTTCCTGTTTTTCAGATGACATTGATTCAGTGAATATTTGTTGTTAGGATTACAGCATGCAACAAGTCAATCACTCTCCATGGCACAACATTTATCCTAAGTCTGATTTAAAGAAAATACTGTTCTAAAAACTAAAATTTATTTAAAAAAATATATTCATTTTTTTCACCACCGCCAACAAAGATTCTTCTTGGGCATGTACGCCCCCTCACCCCATGCCCACACACAGATCGAAAGGATGCTTGCCAATGAAGAAACAAAATTTCAGTCTGCTTTCTAAAAGAAGCACCAAATACATTCACTATTGAGACAGTACAGATGGTTCCCAAAGACACAGTATGTATTCATTACACAAACCAATGAGACGGAGGCTTCCTTGACTTATGGCATGGATTTTCATTAGTCAAGTGTTACGCACCAGGTACATGACTTAATCAGATTGATAGGGTATTTTGTGGGTCAGGCTATTCAAGAACAAAACCCCCGAGGCATTGTAGAGGGGCTGAAAACTGTCTTCATTGAAGGACGTGTTCATTGCAGAAAGGATATTTTGCATTAAGGTCACTCATATTAATTAACAAATAATAACACAAGTAAATACACTTGTCTTCCCAGAGTTGGCGTATAATTACAATCACGTGCTACACAGAAGTCTTGGACAGTTTGCTTAAGCTGACCTCACACAAACTGATCTGCTCAAAATCTGGTCTCACGTCTACAAGCCATGGTTGGAGTCCGAAGCTACACCAGGACAGACAGAGTATGGTTGGAGTCTGATGTTACACCAGGACTGACAGGGTATGGTTGGAGTATGATGCTACACCAGGACTGACAGAGTATGGTTGGAATCCGATGCTACACCAGGACTGACAGAGTATGGTTGGAGTCTGATGCTACACCAGGACAGACAGAGTATGGTTGGAGTCTGATGCTACACCAGGACTGACAGAGTATGGTTGGAGTCTGATGCTACACCAGGACAGACAGTCTGATGCTACACCAGGTTGGAGTCTGATGCTACACCAGGACAGACAGAGTATGGTTGGAGTCTGAAGCTACACCAGGACAGACAGAGTATGGTTGGAGTCTGATGCTACACCAGGACAGACAGGGTATGGTTGGAGTCTGATGCTACACCAGGACAGACAGAGTATGGTTGGAGTCTGATGCTACACCAGGACAGACAGAGTATGGTTGGAGTCTGATGCTACACCAGGACAGACAGAGTATGGTTGGAGTCTGACACCAGGACAGACAGAGTATGGTTGGAGTCTGATGCTACACCAGGACTGACAGAGTATGGTTGGAGTCTGATGCTACACCAGGACAGACAGAGTATGGTTGGAGTCTGATGCTACACCAGGACTGACAGAGTATGGTTGGAGTCTGATGCTACACCAGGACTGACAGAGTATGGTTGGAGTCTGATGCTACACCAGGACAGACAGACTGATGCTACACCAGGACAGACAGAGTATGGTTGGAGTCTGATGCTACACCAGGACTGACAGGGTATGGTTGGAGTATGATGCTACACCAGGACTGACAGAGTATGGTTGGAATCTGATGCTACACCAGGACTGACAGAGTATGGTTGGAGTCTGATGCTACACCAGGACAGACAGAGTATGGTTGGAGTCTGACACCAGGACAGACAGAGTATGGTTGGAGTCTGATGCTACACCAGGACTGACAGAGTATGGTTGGAGTCTGATGCTACACCAGGACAGACAGAGTATGGTTGGAGTCTGATGCTACACCAGGACTGACAGAGTATGGTTGGAGTCTGATGCTACACCAGGACAGACAGAGTATGGTTGGAGTCTGATGCTACACCAGGACAGACAGTCTGATGCTACACCAGGACTGACAGAGTATGGTTGGAGTCTGATGCTACACCAGGACTGACAGAGTATGGTTGGAGTCTGATGCTACACCAGGACTGACAGAGTATGGTTGGAGTATGATGCTACACCAGGACTGACAGAGTATGGTTGATGTACACCAGGACTGACAGCTACACCAGGACAGACAGAGTATGGTTGGAGTCTGATGCTACACCAGGACAGACAGAGTATGGTTGGAGTCTGATGCTACACCAGGACTGACAGAGTATGGTTGGAGTCTGATGCTACACCAGGACAGACCAGGACAGACAGGAGACAGAGTATGGTTGGAGTCTGATGCTACACCAGGACAGACAGGGTATGGTTGGAGTCTGATGCTACACCAGGACAGACAGAGTATGGTTGGAGTCTGATGCTACACCAGGACAGACAGAGTATGGTTGGAGTCTGATGCTACACCAGGACAGACAGAGTATGGTTGGAGTCTGATGCTACACCAGGACAGACAGGGTATGGTTGGAGTCTGATGCTACACCAGGACAGACAGAGTATGGTTGGAGTCTGATGCTACACCAGGACAGACAGAGTATGGTTGGAGTCTGATGCTACACCAGGACAGACAGAGTATGGTTGGAGTCTGATGCTACACCAGGACAGACAGAGTATGGTTGGAGTCTGATGCTACACCAGGGACAGACAGAGTATGGTTGGAGTCTGATGCTACACCAGGACAGACAGAGTATGGTTGGAGTCTGATGCTACACCAGGACAGACAGAGTATGGTTGGAGTCTGATGCTACACCAGGACTGACAGAGTATGGTTGGAGTCTGATGCTACACAGGACAGACAGAGTATGGTTGGAGTCTGATGCTACACCAGGACAGACAGAGTATGGTTGGAGTCTGATGCTACACCAGGACAGACAGAGTATGGTTGGAGTCTGATGCTACACCAGGACAGACAGAGTATGGTTGGAGTCTGATGCTACACCAGGACAGACAGAGGTATGGTTGGAGTCTGATGCTACACCAGGACAGACAGAGTATGGTTGGAGTCTGATGCTACACCAGGACAGACAGAGTATGGTTGGAGTCTGATGCTACACCAGGACTGACAGAGTATGGTTGGAGTCTGATGCTACACCAGGACAGACAGAGTATGGTTGGAGTCTGATGCTACACCAGGACAGACAGAGTATGGTTGGAGTCTGATGCTACACCAGGACAGACAGGAGTATGGTGCTACACCAGGACAGACAGAGTATGGTTGGAGTCTGATGCTACACCAGGACAGACAGAGTATGGTTGGAGTCTGATGCTACACCAGGACAGACAGAGTATGGTTGGAGTCTGATGCTACACCAGGACAGACAGAGTATGGTTGGAGTCTGATGCTACACCAGGACAGACAGAGTATGGTTGGAGTCTGATGCTACACCAGGACAGACAGAGTATGGTTGGAGTCTGATGCTACACCAGGACAGACAGAGTATGGTTGGAGTCTGATGCTACACCAGGACAGACAGAGTATGGTTGGAGTCTGATGCTACATTAGGACAGACAGAGTATGGTTGGAGTCTGATGCTACACCAGGACAGACAGAGTATGGTTGGAGTCTGATGCTACACCAGGACAGACAGAGTATGGTTGGAGTCTGATGCTACACCAGGACAGACAGAGTATGGTCCGAGTCTGATGCTATGCCAGGACGGCCAGATCATGGCTGGAATATGATGCAACACCAGGACAGCCATGGCATCCTCCCAATATCCCAGGCTGCAAAACATGCATTAATAATAACATGCGAGTAGATTTAATTATTTATTTCAGGAATAGTACATGCCAAGTCACAATTGATTACAATAACAACTGGATTCAATAACGAGCACCATTAGAATTATTTGCAGTGTGGTACAAAATTACTTCTTTCTTGCCTGTCAATAATACATGTTTGATAACATATATGTATTCTTTGATACGGAGAATGAAACAAAGACTAGCACTACATAGAGTAAAACATCTTAACTCAGCACCGGCATTAGGTAATATCCAGTCACTCACAATGTCAGCACAAGTGAATGCTTCAAGCACTTGGTTATTTCGCTTCCCCTTCAACAGATTAACATAACTAGAACAATAAGCATTACCTGCACAATCTGTCAGTGAGATATAACTACGTATTAATGCATCCATCAGCTTACCACTTCCAACAAAACAGTGTGGAACTAAATCACAACAAACTAAACTATTTTTCTGTTGAATTATATTTTATGAATTTAGATATGACCTAAAAGATGGAAGACTTGTGATTGTTGGTAATACAACCATTTCAAACCATATCCAAATCCATCTGAGGTTATTATTTCTCACTAACAATTTGCATACAAAACCCCAAGATAACATCCAAGGGATCAGGCTGACATCCCAAAACACAAGAACCCATGAAGTTTAACAAGTCACTCAGACAATACAGACTCCATACTGACTAGTTTGTCCCTTAACGCCAAGGGTCAGCCAGGGTAACAAAAACATCTGTTTCTGTGATTAGAGAGGGTTCGAACTTTCACTTTCACTTGACCAGAGAGGCAATCATCTTTGATCCAGATTAGCATAAGATAACACAAAAGCTGCCAAAGAATCAAATCACACTCCCAAGCCAGAGAAATTCTGTGGAATGTTACTGAACAGCAATAGAAAGAACAAAAGATAATAAAATCATTCTCTAATAAATCTAAGGTACCGGTAGCATTGTATCTGGTGTCATTCCAGATAGTCATTAGTCAATGGATTCAATGATGTGTGGAATTAAAGCAACTATTTCTCCAACTTCAGATCATCTTCAGGAAGTTAACTGACTATAGAAGTCTAGTTGATACAGTTGATAAACTCCCTAGCCTCAGGAACATGAACTAATGGGGCCAATGCAGATAAATCAAATACATGTACTGCCGCAATATACCTTTACCCCAAAATATTTCACTTGAGTGAGTGATTTGCTTTTAGTAATTATTCCAGCAATATTGCGGTGGGGGACACCAGAAACAAGCTTCATTGTACCCATGCAGGGAATCAAACCCAGCGTGACAAGTGAACGCTTTAACCACTAGGCTACTCGCCCACCCCATATTTCACTTGACAAGTAGGTGGCAGTGTTATAAATTAAGCAATACCTGAGGCTTTCTGCTATATCCTTCGGTAGTAATAGATTTATTAAAACTTTTGATTTTCAACAAGTGTATTACACTGAACTCCTGACTACATTTTTAGTTATAAAATATATACGGCAGTGCTTCACTTTTCAGACTCTCCTTCCAACCTGAAAAAAGGAAAGGTGCTTATTTAACCTGACAGGGCATTTGGTCGCCCTTCAGACCAGTGAGGATGTTTCTTGCTGTGAGCTCAGACATGCCAGCCCGAGACTTGTCAGTGGCACTGCCAATGTGTGGCAGCACAGTACAGTTGTCCAGAGAAAGAAGTGGGCTGTTGGTTGGCAACGGTTCTGGAACGGTCACATCAAGTCCAGCTGCTAAAATCGTGCGCGACTTCAGAGCTTCGTAGAGATCCTCCTGGTTTACCACTCCGCCACGACTTGTGTTGATGAATATTGCATTCTTCCTCATCTTCGAAAAGGCTGATTTGTTAAACATACCCTTCGTTTCTGGGGTAAGTGCACAACAGGCAATGATATAGTCCGATCGTGAAAGAACTTCATCAATGGAAGCTAACTCTGCCCCAACCTCACCTTCGGCAGGGTTTCGGATTGCATCAGAATACAGGATTTTTTCAACTCCAAACGGTACTAGACGTTTTGCCACAGCGAACCCTATCCTCCCGAAGCCAACAATACCAACAGTAGCGCCATCTAGGCCCGGCCCACACAGCCACAGCGGTTTCCAGGTACCCCACGTACCGTTCTCCACAGCACGGATGCCTGTAACACACACCACATGACGTGTGGCTACATGATTGGGTCTCAATTCTCAAGAAGGGCAATAATTCTCAAAACTCTGTTGGAACATATTAATGATGTCTGTTACTTATGTACAGAAAAACGGATTGTCAAAAGGTGGAATAGGTTGATGAGGATACAGAACTTGCTGTTACATGTAACGAGGATATTTTTAGATTGCGAGAACCATAGGAATGGATCCAGGGGGTAGTGTAGGCTTACTGGAAGATAAATAGGTTGCCTGTATCAATACCTCTTTCTTGTGGTGATACTACCACTGATTTTCTCTTACCTTCTCTGAGTCTCCTGGAAGCGGCCAGCAGCAGAGTGACAGTCAGTTCCGCAGTGGCGTTGGTCAGGACACCTGCAGTGAAGCCCACCGAGATGTTCCTCTTCCTACACGCATCTACATCAACATGATCGTAGCCCACAGACATCGTGGCCACCACCTTCAGCTGAGGGCCTGCATACCAACAGATTTAAAATGACATCTTCACAGACAATCTGGCCAAACTGAAGAAATTAGCTTGTAATTCTTGTTTTTAAAAAATATCTTAAATATATTATAAGTCTGAAACACACATAATGATTACTATTTTTTAATGTCATCAATTACATTTTGGAAGAAGAAGGATACAAAATACATTCTATTATTTAAACTTAGATTAGATAACTTGTTGCTGTGAGACCATGTTTAATATTTTTATTGAACAGAAATAAGACATTGCATTTGGAGCAATATTCATTCATTAATTAAGAAACTAAACAAAAGTGACTGTCACAATTTTCCAGACAGCACCACAGTATTGAGGTGAATATTTCTACAAAAATAGTTTTTGCTATCTTTAGGAAGTAGCTGTAAAATATTTCTAATATACCAAAACTGCAGGCAACAAATCCTTTCCACAAAAGAAAACTTTGTTTTTCTTTGTTGATACAATGTTGAATATTGATTCAGTGACTGTGTCTCTCAATGTTCATAATGGGCATACAAATTGTTACTTAGTATGAACTGTTTAACATACTAACTGCTGATGAATATCATGCAATATCATAGTTCTATTCCCAGGCAGATGTTTGGTAGGTGTTCAAGTCCCTTTCTTTCAAACTTGCATTCATTTATTCAATAAGAACAAAAAACAACAAACTCCTTTTCCTGCTAATGTAGAGTCTGTTGTAGGATTCTACCAATATTGTAAATATATGTTCATGAATTACTATCACACAGTGAAAAGGACGAAATATCATGCCCCACCGGTGGCATCCATAACAAACACATGCAAAGGCAAGGCAATCAGAAAAATCTCATTTGGTATATGAATGAATGACATAATCCACATACCTATGTTGTGGTAGACCCACTAAGATCATCTGGTTGCATTTCTCATGGCTTAATTTATGGGGCACATAAGTGTTAACAGATCTGAAATAATGTCTTGTTCCTATAGAAAGTAACACAGAGCCCAACTGGCCTATGGCTAACTGAGTCTCCATGTGTACCTGCAGCATCCAACACTTCATCGTCAATCTTCTCGGTCAGGAGACAGAACAGAGCATCTTTGCCTGCAACCTGCTTCAGTAACTCGGCACGAGGTACAGGATCATCCTTGTTCCACTGAGTGACATCACATGACTCTCCCAGAAGCCTTGGGCCAACCTCCGGCACACGTCGGGTAACGTAAACCTGGAGGACAAAACAAGAAAAGTATTATTTTTTCAACGGAGTTCCAGACCCGGTGCATATTAGAGGCCCAGGGCTCTTGCGTTTACTAGGTCTAATTGCTGTAATTGTTAGTGAGCTGCTTTACCCCCGGCGACTATTAGGGGCCCAGTGCTTATTAAATACTCAGCGCTTATTAGAGGAAATGTGGTAAGTGTTGTTTTTCACTGATGACTTTTGATACAATCACAATTATAAATGTGATTAGTCATTACATTGGCAAGCATACAGTTTACATTTATTAAACAAAAAGTAACAAAATGAGTTATCACATGGGTCATCACAATAACACACTGAATCTCTAATACTGATTGGTAAACACTGCATCCACCCAGTCCTCACTGTTCAGTGTCACAAGCATGGGATACTTGGGCACATCACAAATGTAAATACACCTTATTGGGTGGAGGTGGGGTTGGTGTGTCATGAAAATAAACACACACTAAGTTTGTGGGTCATGAGCATACATACTTCTTATTCTGGATCATGAATATATTTTGGGGGAGGGGGCCCATTTTAGAGATTCTGACAAATTAAAAACAAAATATTGTGGAGGTAACCGATGTATCACTCAGCACATTGATCCCTTCCCATGCAACTGCTTACACGTATAAAACATTTGATAATTAGTGCACAGCAATGACACATGACACACTAACTCATATCCCCATAACCTTGTACTATATACATAGAACAGAGTTAATGAAAGCAATGGAATGAATCTGTTGGCCTAGTTCAGATCGCCTGTGAGTTCGGTATCCTGATTACAGTTTACCGGTTTACACTTCAATTATTTGAAAGCAAAAACTCCACTAACCTTGGGTCTCGACATAGTTGTGATGTAGCGTGCTAATGCTCCGCCTGACCTTGTATTTATATCCAGAAGACCCGGGGATATGGAGAGATAACGGCACGTTGTGGCCACGCGCACGGTACATAGATGAGATAGCAGACGACTCAAGGACAGCTGCATGTCGCTTGGTTCAGTTTTCGTGCAGACGACAATCCGTCAACGAACACGAAATGTTACTTCCACACTTGGCATTTGTTCTGCACAGAGATTGAGAATATACACAGTCTCGACAACGACAAGGACAAGCGTGATAATTATTTGATAATTTAATTAATCAATAAGTAAATTACACCTTGATTGCTAAACAGCCAGCGCAGCATACCCTGGGAACCAGGCTGGGAAACATCAAGAAAGACAACTCTTGCGTGTCAGCATGCTGAATGTGTGAACCGAGCAGACAGTAAAATCTCTCTAGAGCAATGTTTATACAGCATGCATTGTATAACTTGCAGTTGTTTTGATGAGATGTAGCAAACGTACTTAAGGTATGAAATTGATGTGCAAAATTTGTTTGATTATTTATCAATCGTCAAATCAGCAGACTTTTCCGGCTGTGTATCTTCCCACGATAAGTGAGGTATGCGGGCAGACAAAAAGCACGAAGGGTGAGAGGGTGCGTTTTTATTTAATTTTGCTAATTCCTCCAATACCATGGACGCCATGAATGGGTAAATGGGCTTCAAACATGTGGGGTCTTCGGCGTGACGAATTAACAAACGCTTTATCCACCCAAATACAAGCGAAGATATATATAGTGTTAGTACTACTACACGACTATGGTCGTTTGTTCTTAGAATTTATCAAATTGGTGTCAAAGTACACGGTGATAATTCCCTAGCGTGTATGAAATAAATGCATCATGCGTTGTGATGTTCGTATACATTGTATATATTTTTTATATCATCAGATCCTATGACGTCACCTCACATTACAGCAACAATGGAGTTTACGTATACATTACATCGTCAGTGTGGTATGGCGCATGAAAACATATTTACTCTATGACAAGTAACAACTGATAAAATTCAATATGAACCGAACGTGAAATATTTATTCAGCTCTCCATATACAGAATGGTAGACGTAATTGTAGACTGGTAGACGTAAATTGAGATTTGTGACGCAATAATACAATACTGACATCTGCGGTGCATTGTTTCATGACGTCATCATAGTAGTGACATCACATAGCATCATCGTGGGGTCATATAAGTTTTACTCAACATAAATTACAGTAATATGAAACAAAATTGTCCTGGCAGCGTCAGAATAAATACGAGCAAAAAAGAAACATTTATGCTCTTTGTGGATTGTGCTGTTACCTCACGAGGTCTTAATCCTAACAATTAAGTAACCTGTTTGTAACTCAAACGTTAATGTCTCTTTTGTCCCTGTCGATATTGACACTGTAAAGAAATGCCCTCCACAAAATGGGTGTTTCTCTGTGGGACTGAGTAGAAATAAAACAAGCCTAACCATACTTACTGTCGGGGCCGATGAAAGGGCCAGTCAGTCACCGAGTTTCACTCTGCGTGAAGTGTTTGTTTGTTTGTCTGTTTGTTGTTTAACGCTGTTAAATGATGGTGACCATTAAATAATTGACTATGGACCAGATGTCCACAATCCTACGCCACTGGAGTCCGATGACACGCAATCAACAAAGTGACGGAGCCTCGCCACCGGCTTTGTCGGTGTCTCTTTAGATACGTATATATTGGTTGCTGGAGTCCTATTATCACCGGAGTGCATGAAAAGTGGGTGTAGCTTCACACCAATTCGGTGAGTGAGTGAATGACATTTTACGCCGCTTTCTGGGACCGAATGGGGTTTAGCGTTAATCCAACCGATGATACCCAAATTTAGCATATAGCTCCTGAGGTCATGTGGCGAATTGAACATGGGCCTAGATTTTCGAAGCTCTCTTAGTCGTAAGTGCCATACACTAACATTAACTTAAGACTATCTTATCGCTAAGGGAGCTTCGAAAATCTAGGCCCTGATCTTCAGCCACCTGGTGACAACACCGTCACACACACTTTATAGTCGAGCACTAGGAATGATCTTCACCAGGTGTAAATGACCAAGTGGCGAATAAAACTGACGTTCCAGGTGAATAAAACTGACGTTCCAGGTGAGTAAAACCGACGTTCGCTTTGACACTAGGCTACCGTATGGACTTGCTCAGTGAAGGGGTCGTTGGTTGTCATAACGACACGCTTTATTAAAACAATTTTATGGAACCCGGGTGTAAGTCCCCAGCAATAAACATTAATGATTTATTTTAAATCGTAAAACGAATCCTGCGGCATGTAATTACATTGTTTTCCAAAGAGGTCCGAATGGATGTTACGAACGTTATTGGTGTACCAACACGAATAGCGGTGTACAGCTGACAGTTTAGTTGGTTCTCTAAAGAATTTTATGCGAGTAATCATTTACAGGGTGTAAAGATTACAATGACTAAGGTACTCAGCGGAGAGCAAATGCTTTGATGCACAGGAACTATTAAAACAAATCGTGCATTATACTAGCGGAGAGCCGCGACGGGGTCCTACGGTCATGACACGCGATGTGGGGTCATGTCTTGACTGTAAGAACCCTTCGCGGCTAGCATTTTATGTGGTTACACCTTTTCGTGTTTACATATTTAATTTACCGTGTCTAATACTGTCCGGTGAACAATGCGAAAACCTTTTGATATTTCTACCTGCATCTCGCTACATGTGAATGAAATTGTCAACGGATTTAGTCTCGGCTGCAAGCGTTTCCTAGTTACCTCCCGTGAGCATCCGCAATTCGTGACCTCTGACCCCGGCACGACGAAAGAAAACAACAGGTGCGATATCAAACAAATCACTCGCGTGGACAAACAAAAGGAAGAGTTAGTGCGGACACTTTACTAATTGGAAAGTCTAACATAGGGAGGCTCCGAGCCTAGGATACAACTGACCGGCACAGGTAAGTCTTGTTGAAGGTAGCTCTCGAGCCAGAACGCAGTAACAACAGTGAGGCAGTGGTTAGGCTGGAGCTCCTTGTCAAGTTTCATACGTTACGCGAACAATATAAGAAGACGGTTGTTATTTAGGGACTCGTTGAATGCCAGTGGGAATAATTTCACTTACTGTGTGGTGTTACTGAGAACGAATTCTCAGAAAGCTTGGCTTTTATAGACTTGGATACAAACTTGTTCGCAGCTGGTAGTGGATGTGCTCAGTGCTCTACTATATGTAAGCAGGGAGACTATATAACGTAGAGTATCCCTGATGTAAGCAGCTGAGAAACGTCTATATACGAGATGTTTGTTGAAAGACGTACGAGCATTTATTACGCTGTTCATTGTAGAGGATCGTTTTCGTTTCTACGGGTGAGGCTTACACATGTAAGTGAAAATTGTTTTACTTATTTTTAATTTTGTATGTAAATTAATCATTTGTACTAATTATTAATTATTGATTTTTATAATCCAGTTCTAGAACTTTGTAGTACTGGTTATGTAATGTACTTCGGTGTCATCTGCTGAGATCTGTTTTAGTAATCATCTGGAATTAAATCTGGTGTATTTGGTTTTAACTGCAATTTAGTTAAATAAAATATACAAAAGTAAGTACATGCATTTCCTTTCAAACTTTAAGTTTTTATAATACATATTCTGTATGATTACAGAATAATATTCACTTGGACATAATTTGGTTGTTTTTAATTACTTTAAAACAAGTCATAAGGATGCAGTGTTTATATTGTGAGAAATAACAAATTTTATAGTATTCTCTTATACAGAAAATGAAATATGTATTCGACTTCAATGAAAGGTGCACACAAAAAATTATGGATCTCTTCAAGTGAATGAATAATCAGCTACAAGGAGTCAAGAGTTTTGGCAGTTACAAATGAGAAATTCCTCATCCGTATTGTTTATCCCAAATAACACTTACCCAACCAGAAAACAAGTTGTATTTTTGTTGGTTTGTCTGGCAGCAGCTGATTGGTGTCGTTAAAGTGAAATTATCTCAAGATTTCTTAAGGAAAATATTAAAAAGTGACAGCTTTCATTCCCATCAAGCATTTGTGTAAAACCTCTATCATATTATCTTAGCTGTTCTCCTGTTGACGAATATTGAAGAACTTACATAACAAATATAGATCCATGGCAAAATGTATTGTGGTATTGCTATTTCCATATGTTTTGATTTTTACAGTTGATAAATGGAATTATATTGACCTAATATTGTTAATAAGCACAAGTGCCCCTTCCTTTGCACATGTTATAAACACTCCTAGCCTGTCTTCCAGACTACACAACTACATGTCTCAGACCTAATGTGAGTCTAAAGCACTCCTTCCTACATGTGTTGTTTTGTTAATGAGGTTGTTGAGATGGGAATGCCCCTTTGCTACACATTCATCTCTACTGCAGCTGTGGACATATATTTGAGTGTCAATTTGTGCTCAGTACTTGAACCAAGCGTAAGGTCATGTTAAAGTATAGTGCATCATGATACACAGAAGATAGAGCCTTGTTACACTAAATGGGGCGGTGGGGTAGCCTAGTGGTTAAAGCGTTCACTCATCACGGTTTGATTCCCCATATGGGTACAATGTGTGAAGCTCATATCTTGTGTCCCCCGCTGTGATATTGTTGGAATGTTGCTAAAAGCGACGTAAAGCCACAGGGCTTCAGATAATTTTTCATGATCAGGAGTACGTACTCCTTCTTTTCTCAATATAGGAGTACTGGAAAACAATAAGAGTACATTTAGAGTACTGAATGGAATTTAATGGAGTATCAGTAATCTTGTGTTTCGTTTCATATATGCACCACAACATTGCTTCTCTTGTGTAAACAGGGCAATTAACAATAAAACAATACTATTTCAGATAAATACGTCTGTAAATGATTCTAAGACCATACACCATTGCTGTGGTGCGTATCTGCTACGTTTTCTAAATTATTTCCTTCTGTATCATGCTTACTTTATATCCGTACATATGCAGATACAGCCCTTATCTGGAGCCCTGAACCAGACTCACTCACTCACTCACTCACTCACTGTTACACAAAACCTAGACTTGCACAAGTCTCTACGGTAATAAATAATTGTTTTAATGATAATTTCTAATAAAAATATGAATAAAAAGAACCCATTGTCCTTCCAACAGACTGGCATCCTTGTACTGACTGCTTATCTAGACTTGCCTCTTTAATGGGTAAAATTACTGTACATCCATTGGCTTAGCATTCAGTACAGCCTTGGAGCAAGGCTACATTAAACTTAGTAAGGTCGAACAATCACCGATTGTTTGGTGCAATATTCTGTGCCATGATATAATTATTGTA